AAGCACACCCCAAGCACACCCCAAGCACACCCCAAGCACACCCCAAGCACATCCCAAGCACACCCCAAGCACATCCCAAGCACACCCCATGAACACCCCATACACGGAATAAATAAGGCTTCTATGGTATTTGAGAGTTAGTTTAATTTGGGACATTTAGTCAAATATTTGACTTGATTCGACCGCTTCCACTCCATTTTGTGGTTCGTCAATTGGTCTGATTGCATTGCGAACCAATATGAACGAGACAGCCATGGACTTATGTGAGAGAGCCAACAGAAGAACGAAGTTGTTACATAGTGACGATGGAAGAGAGATTTCTTTTCATTAGATAAGACGACAAGGACCACTCTACGTGATATGCCGGTCAACCCTTTTCCCTCGGTGATTATGCCTCTTCTACCGCAAAGAAAGTTTTTGAGCAATCCTCATCATGAGGCTCTGACCACCACAAATAATGAGCCTTTACCCATGTTGGTATCGCCAGGTAGGTACTGTGTACACAGTTAAGTGGACAGTTTATGCTTCTAAGCAAAAGTTGATTTATTCGTGTATGATAGATGTATGTTCCAGGTCCTCGTCCAATGCCCCTGAATCCGTGCGGCGGGGGCCGCAGCTGAGCAAGATTGCGTACAATATGTCTTTGCTTATTCTGACGGGAGGATATGTCCCGACACTTGAGTTTCAAGCTCAAGGGAGGAGGACATAATCTAAAAGATAGAATTTCTTTTTACGCTGCGTCTGCCAAAGAGAGCCGCTGTTTCTTGAGCGTCGTGCTCCAGTACACCTGTAGAGACCCTTTGCTTCTTCCGGGGAATTTCTTCGCGAACAGTCTCGTCACCTCCGACCAAGCAAGATTCTGCTCTTCCCGGAGGCTCACCAATAAACAGTTTTCTTCCATAGACCACGGTAAGCCTTTTCTCGTAGGTTGCGCATCAACTAATTCGGTGCTTGAGCCCGAGTGGTCATACTCATCTGTCAGGTCCACAGCTTGGCTCGAGATGCATCCTGATACAGAGGCGGTATCTGGGTTGGCACGCGTAGAAACGCAGTGTGATAAAGCACCCTCAAACAACCAAGACAAAAACTGTAGTCGCTCTTCGACCGGTAGGGAAGAGAATTGATCCCGAAGAATAGAAAACGACATTTTAACGGGGCCGCTTGCTCGAGCACTCCGGCCAGTCCTATTCATGTGGCGATTGTCCACGACGACAGCAACCTTGCTGATTTTGGACTGCTGCCGCCCGGGTTTCATCGCCCGTTGCGAATTCGGTCGCATGCCGCGGCCACGAACAGATTTACCCAACGAACGAGAAGGGGCCACAACGTCAGAGGTCTCTTTTCTTGCTGGGGTCGGCTCCATATCTTGAAAATGATAATCATCCAGGATTGCCGGATCAATTGTTGGGTCGCAACACTCGCTGGCCAGACCAGAACTTCCAGCCTTGCCAACTTGAGACTGCTGACTGGTAGTGCAAGCGAGCCCCAGATCACCCGATTCAAAGTTGAGTGGGCACTGAGACTCCGGGCCCAGATTATCACAATTTATTGGATGGTCCTCGTCTCCAGAGCTTGGTAAATCCTGCAGATGCAGAATATCATTGAAGTCGAACGCCTCAACTCCGGGGTTAATGCATGATATCTGATCCTCCACAGCGGGATGGTGCTGATGCTGAGTGTTTGACTCCTGTGGTAGGCTGTCGTTCAAGCAAACCTCCACCGGCGGTCGGGGAGGAAGAGGGTGTCGCTCAGATTTATGAGAATGAACATTTGGGTTCTTGGAAGCCGAATTGGTAGAATTGGAGGGAAGCGAGGTGGCGGTGATCGAGACAGGACTTGGATATCGACAAATATCGACAGAATCCCGCAGAGGCTGCGCCTTGTCCTGAAAAGGGTTCCACGGGCGGAAGGATTCCAGGCGAAAACTGTCGCTTGACATATTGTGCGAAAAAAAAGGCAGGAGAGCAAGTTCACGTCATAGAGGAATTGGGGCCACTCGTAGAAATAGAGAAACCAGAATCGGGAGTTTGGGCAGGGGGCAGTGGATAGGGCACAGTTGGAAGGGGAAGGGGGACATGGAGAATTTGGGAGGGTTGGGTTGCAGCTTTGTTATGTGGGTGGAATTGTAGTCTCTTTTATAGACTGCGAGGCGAAATCCGCCTACTTCACCGCGCAGACGACACCGACCAGCTCCAGCAACCCATGCCGCTGCATCCAAAGTTGCCAGACCATGCTATTTTCGCATCCACGAAGCTAGAATTCCAACAAGCCCGACCAGGAATTCACCTCATGATGCGGAATTGACCTGGGTCAGGCGAGCTTGCGGTATTTTCGCCATTGGTTCGCATCACCGTTGCATGCTGTCGATATTCACCGATTGGGTGAGGATGGACCGGAGAGGCCGACGATGACGACAACTGCGAGGTTAAGGCGTTTGGGAGAAAGCCGCCGAGAGTAGATCTGCGACGCCAAGGGCTGCACAATGTAACCTCCGATGGTTTTACCTCCGACGGGGCGTCAGATGAGGCGGATGAAGCGGAGCACGGAGCATCGAGGGAGGCAGCCGGGGAGACTTCGCTTGTTGCGAAGTCAGAAGGAAAACAGAGACCTTCAGCGGGCAAGGTCTCGGCCGCAGAAGGCAACCGACATAGCTTTGCAGCGAAACCCACGGTGACTTGTTTGAGAAGAGATCAAAGGTAGATTGACACGCAATCACATGGTGTCAAGGACACAATACGGTGGAGGAATGGATCATCTCCGTGTTTCGATTCCCGGGCGACCGGATCGCGGCATCTCCGGCGAAATGAAAGGGGCAGTGCATCGGGCTGAAAGCCAACGTGCAGGCGACGGTGGGGCCGAGAAAGAAAGGGGTTGAAGGGGGGGGGAAGAAGGGGGAAAGAGAAGAGAAAGTGCGTCGACGAAGAGGAGGAGAGGGCGAGGGGTCTTTTATAGATGGATGGCAGACCGGGAGGGCGGTAAAAGCGGCGTGGGAGGCGCTAAACCAAAGCGGGACTGAGGTGCGGGCGCCATGCCCGAAGGGGCAGGGGGACTGCGAATTCGGGCAGGCGGTGGGACGGGAGCCATTTCCGGCCCCCCGCTCACCGTGTCAATTAATACTACTATAAAAATACACCGATTAATAGCGAAGTTAATTAACCTAATTTAACGCCGTTCGTCTCGATTTTCCTCTTTACTAGCTAACTAGGGGTTATTTCTAGGGTTTAAAAAAGGTGGGTATAGTCGAAGCTCCGGTAGCCGGGATAATTCGTAAATATTAAATCACGAGTAGATTCCTTAGGTATTAGGCTATTTAGTATAATAGAGGGATTCTCTATATTCGCTCCGTTCTAGAACTTAGTTAAGCTTATTAGAATAGTATCTATATCCGAATTATTTTTATCTACTATACTAGAATCGTAACCTTCGTTACCTCTTATACTCGAAGTTTAAGGGTTATCTAAACCTAACGGCTAGCGATTAGCTATTATAAGCTAGAGTTTTAGAGAACTATATCGTGTTAATAGCTAATACTTAGTAATATAAATCTAAAAGGGGACTAGGAAACTAATACCTATTTAACTAAATTAAGTTTTATAGTACCTAGAAATTAATATATATACACCGGAACATTAGGAAGGGACCTAGCTATTTATATCTTAGTTAATTATATTTATCTTAGTATAAGGTAGCTAATAGATAATTATAGCGATATAAGAAGGTACGCTCCTATAGGCTCCTAGGAGCTATAAGTAGATTAGAATAATCTTAACTTCCTAGGAGCTACAATAGGTCACTTTAAAAGGTCTATTAGGATATACGATAAATAGGGGATATATAGTATAATAGATAATATAGCTTACCTAGCTTACCCGGCTCTCTTAGTGGTAGAATATCTATTCCTACGCCTAGGAATAACTAAGCTAGCACAATAATTAGGCTAATATAACTCTAGGGTGATTCGGTTTTAAGTAGTAAGGCTAATATATCATATTTTTTTACTATATCTATTTAATATTATATAGATAACTAGGCTCTTCTAAAGTAAAGAAACTATAAAAGTACTATTTAAACGGCTATTAGAGGCTCTCTAATAGTGATTAACAGCCAAGACGAATATATAGTATAGTCTAAGGGTAATTATAGGTGTAGAAGTTATTCGGCACCTTTCGCTAGTCTCGATAGAAGAAATTATTTAAGTACGTTTAATTATGCTTTTTATTATAATCGCTAAGGATTTAGAATTAGCTAGGCTTCACTATAAGTACGTGAAATATATAGTATAGACGGGCGGTAACTAGTATATATAAATATCTTTCCATCCGAAGAACTATTAGCGAGAGAAATATAATTTAACTAGCATTATACTCACTTTCGCTATTAGATAAGTTCATTATATAAAGTGTGAAGGGCTGAAGTAAGACTTAAATTCAATCTAACTAGGCTAATATGCTGTTTACAAAAAGCTTAGAGAAGAGAAGGAGTGGATCAAGCGGAGTAACAATAGAAGTAAGTATATAGGGCGGTGGTAGAACGGAACGTACGGGGAAGGCTATATGGTAGGGCTATATAGTAAGAAGCGGGTCTAACCCGTGACATTACCCCCTCCTAGGGGTCGTCGTCGGAGGGATAAGCGTTATACGGCGTAGGCCGTCTACTAGACGCGCTGGAAGAACGGGAGCGGGAAATAGGGCAATCGGAAATCTAATGATTTGAGGAGCCACAGCAGTAGCACTAGCTAAGTAGGCTTCGTCGAGCACGACGGTATTCGCGATCTTCATCGGTATAGAGTGTAGCTATGTCGATCTTGTCCTTAAGGTATTTTGCAGGATCCTTCGGGGGCCCTAGGGCTGAACTAGTAGGTATAGCTGGCTTGATTCTGGCTGTTCGTACGCGAATCGGGTCAAGGTCTATTAGGTCTAGCTGGCTTTGGCGAGACTGGGTCTGGCGGGTCTGGTTCTGGCTAATCTGGTTCTGGCTAATCTGGTTCTGGCGTTGCTGGTTCTGGATAATCGGGCGCTGCTGGCGGCGATCGTGGCGCTGGAGTAGTTCAATATAATCATCGTATTCGAGATCGAATAGAGTATCATAAGATTGCTCGAGGATCTGGCGTAACGTGGGCCGTAGGCCACGGTGTAGGGTAATCGTACGAAGGAGATCTTGCTGATGGACCTTAGCTTCATGCGATAGACGTTCGAATCGGGCGAGGTAGGCGACTAGGCTTTCGTCGTCTTTCTGGCGGATATTGGCGAATCGTAGCACTGCATCTTGTTTCTCACGAGGGTTATAACAAAGACGTTCGAAGTACTGGAAGACTGCTTCGGGTGTTGGGTTGGTTTCGCGAAGATGTAAGACTGAGGCTTGCTGGGATGGCTCGAGGCGATCGTAAACGTAGTTAAATGCTGGTTGACCGACTAAGCCGTCCGACCGTAGCTTTGCTTGAATAGCTGGAAGCCACGTCTTTAGACTAAATGGTCGGCCGTCGAATCTAGGCGGATCTGGTAATCTGAACTGGGGTCGAGTAGGCGTAAGGGCTTCTAGCTGGCGTTACTGGTCGACGAGTTGTTGCTGGAGTTGCTGGATTAAAGCGAAAAGGGGCTGGTTCTGGTCCATTTCGGCGGGGAATCGGGGGTCTGGCTAGGAGGAAAAGAAAATCTGGCTGGCTGACTGGATCTGGTACGACTCGATCACGAGAAGGAAGCTTTTTGTATGTGAAGGGCTGAAGTAAGACTTAAATTCAATCTAACTAGGCCAACATGCTGTTTACAAAAAGCTTGGAGAAGAGAAGGAGTGGATCAAGCGGAGTAACAATAGAAGTAAGTATATAGGGCGGTGGCAGAACGGAACGTGCGGGGAAGGCTATGTGGTAGGGCCACATAGTAAGAAGCGGGTCTAACCCGTGACATAAAGGGCATCGGTGTACGGAGCCTTATTTAGATCTATATTTATTAAGTCAAGGCAGTATTAGTTAGACTTAAGCTCCTAGGAGCCCTAGGAGCCTATAATAAGAATTCGCCTAAACAGATAGAGTATTTTAATTCAGCTATCTTAAAGATATAAAATAGTAACGCTCCTAGGAGTAAGTGTTTAGTCATACGAATAGCAGGTCTTCCTTCCGTGAATTACTACCTAATCTAGCGAGAATAGTCTAGCATCAAAGCCCCGAAAGGTGTTTATCTTAGTAGTAGGTAATTATAGAAGGGTATATGAATTTTTATAGAGAGATCTAAAAGTATCCAATCAAAATCAAAGAAAATGCGAAGTTCGTCTAGAAAATCCAAATTTGCCTCTAGAGCTCCCCAAATGTAGCTAAGTATCGGGCACGGGAAAATACTCCTAGGAGCATTAGATCTACAACAATCGTAATTAGCTAATTAAACGATTTCCACTAAATACATCCTAGTTACAATGGCAAGGATCGCCAAGGAAGTGGCAAATGTACGATGCCCGCTCTTTTGACTGAAAGGGAAATCTATACAAGGGGTCGGGCTAGCTTATTGCGTTTTATTGAGCCTGCTTACTTAGATCGCCTCTAGGGAGGAGATTAGTAACTAAGCAAATCTGGAATTACTCAGGTCAGGCTCAGTGATCAGATCAGGGAGGCTATAGGCAGGCTCAGTGAGCAAATCAGGACGCTCGGATCACGCTCAGTGAGCAGGTCACCTTGATTACGTAACGGTCACTGAGCAGCTCCGGCTGATCAGGGGCGTGCTCAATTCTACTCAGTGAGCAAAAGCGGCGAGGGGGTGAGCACTAGAACGGAAGGAGAGCGCCAAGAGTTGGCGGACATTATCCGGTATATATGTAGATCAGCTACGGACGCACCACGCAGCAACGAGGGGACTAATCTTAAGCAACCAATAGCCAGGTAGCCTAGGTCCATAATAATTGGACTCACTCGCGAAATGCGTGACATTGGAGTTGATTTAGAAAGTTCTGAAGGGGTTCGGTCTGAAGGGGTTCGGCCCAAAAGAGAGACATAGCTTGACATGCACTCTTTTATCCAGCTTTGAGCTTTGACTTTCCTTGCAAAGGAGAGTTTGGGGGATAAGGTAACTCTGTTACTATGGAAGCTTTGTCACCTTAAAGAGGTTCTCACGAAAAGGATCAATCAAAATTACCTTGACCTCCGGGCTTGACGCTGGATTTGTTTGCTTCGGCATTATGTCGTACTGCGTGAAGTCATGTCCTAAATAAAATTTAATAAGGCTATGCTAGATATGGGTGGTAGTAATACCCCACTGATAAAGTTGGCCACAGCTGTATCTCTATCTCGTAATACTCCTTTGCTGCTTTCAAACTGAAGTCCTTAGCCGTCTTTGTCTGACCATCCAAGAAACACGACAGGAGGGAACTATCACTAGGCTTTTGACTCACGACAATGTGTCACCCCTTCAGAAAAGGACGCGCGGGGTAACATGCTATTTTCTATATACTTGGAGGACATCTCGGCTGTAAGAAGTTTTGATCGAAACGCATCATTGAATATAAAACGGACCGAACTGCCTTGAAGGATTTTTCATTACCAAAACAAGATTCTTGCTTGCGAAAGGTTTCCATCCAAAATCATGAAGCCTCAGTCAGCTTCTCCCATGTTATTGTTTGGGTTTCTTTTCATGTCGACTACGGCCAATTCCACAGCCACTGCCCCCCATGAAATGATCAAGCATCAAGCCACTGCTACTGCTGAATTGAGTGGACCGGGGTGGAAGAGACTAGTTGAGTCGCTGAATAGTTCAGAAACAAACACATTCGTCGATCCAGTTATTGTTCAATGTTCATTGCAGTACTTTGTACTAGGGTCGTCCTGTCGTGAGTTCCATGCTTTTTTTCAAACCTTTCAAATGTGGTCAGATGCTGATTGTTCAACATTAAAGAGGGTACTATTTGTATCGTGGCACCCGTCCAGCTTCATTTCATATGCCCCTAGCTTGATATTCCTTTCCTTGGACCACTAGCCAGAGGAATTGAAGCAAGATTGAGAGTCTGTAAAGGAAATGAGATCAACTCTCTTGCTCCCCAAACTAGTCTTTGATTAAATTGTTCCACCAAGTTTTATAATCATCTTGAATTTGTCCAAGAGAAAACAAGTGAAAGCGGAGGTCAGCATGCAGTAATATCTTTATTACTACAAGCACACAAGTTTGACACGGGGATCTAAGAGACTCCGAACTATGGCAAACGAACATATCATCACGTAGTACCAAAGAGTCAATTGCACAGTCATACCTAATACCGTAATTGTCTCACTTACTATACTACTTCCAGGGGTATGGAGATCGTCGTGGAACACACTGCATTTTAAGTTCCTCGTTTCTTGCCGTGAATATCTTCAGAGAGTAGAAGACGGCAAACGGAAATGCCGGGCCACAAGGGCTCTTCGTTTCCCAATTAGTTAACATGTTCAGATAATTGAGAGTTTGCACAAACAAGATGCGGAATTCATTTGCTGTCGTAATCGTGAAACGGGTTTAACCACCGAAGATTCCTGTCCCCCGCAATGGGGTATACAGTGTAACGCCCTTAAAGAATTCCTACCCTAAAGTGATATAAATCATGTAATAACCTAGTTTAAATTACCGAGGCTAAATATATAAAAGGCTGTACATGCCCATCGTCTCTTACCTCTTAGAACAATCATACAAGACTAAGACTTCCAGTCGTTCAACACAATCTTATCTATTAGCCTAAGATTTACCAGCTTAATTCGATCACGATGAAGGCCCAAACTATTGTCGGTGCTCTGTTACCTGTCCTGCTGACAGCGAACGCTGCCTCGAGTGACGAAAGTATGAAGACTGTGAGCTTTGGCGGAGCCGAACTTAGAAATCTGGCGGATGTGATCAGAAGTCATGGCCTTGCGGACAAGCTTGCTGCCAATCAGGAAATCAACTGCACCGTGGCTTACACTCTTGCATTAAGTAATATCGTCCGCGCCAATCTTTCTCATTGACAAATCAACTAACCTCATCCATAGGCGCTGGCCCTCCTTATACTCTCAGTCTTACCTCCCTTGACCTCTCCGGTTGTATCTACACCGGTCCTTGATTTAGATCAAGACCTATGAGACAAACCCAGCAATTGGTGGCCAAGCTGGGTATTAGTTTGAATTATCTGAAATATGATGCTTATGGAAGCTCGAGAATGATTCGCCGTGAGCAGAAGCAATGAAAATTGGTTTTCTTCGAAATTTAGTCTCTCGCGATGTGAATCTTAGAATGAGAATGAATGTGGGGTAGAAAAGTGAGACTCTGGCCTAGCTTAGATGCCATTTTATCCATTTATTCAGACGCCCAGTACTCTAGCATTGCAAGCAAGATTCGTCTTTCCCCCGAAAGCTCTATAATCACACGTTTCTACCGTCACGTGTGTACGTACTACTTTTTCCGCATCTAGCAATACTCAAGAGGTTGAAGGCGCTCTTCCAGACAAAGTGTGTATAGGTGGGTGGTGTGGCACAGTAGTGCGTGTTCAACTTCCTGCTTTTGGAATTCCAAGGGATATGAATATCTTAGCGCCTATACACCATGATACTTTTCTGTCCATCCTCTATTTCAAGCTTATGATGTGGTCAGTCTCGCAGGATATTGTCTTATTTTGATTCAATTTTTCTGGAATTCGCCTTGTTGAAACCCACCATCCCATTCCTTCTAGACGGATTGAGTTGAAAACCCATGACACTGATTTCGGTTAGTAAAGGTCTGGATTTGGACCTATATAAATATTTTCTAACACTATCAAGATTCAATTAAGGAATGTAGGTTGCCAAAGTAATAAGGGCAATGAGTTGAGTTCCCGTCTCCTTCTAATAGCTGGGGTACACGGTGAGGTCTACCAACCGAAAATCTAGTATTGGGTTCTTAAAGGAGTTGAGAAACAGCAAACCAGCTCGATCTGGCTTGTCTACTAATGAAACCTGATTCATGTCGAAAAAGTGGCTCGCAATATTTGCTCAGCCAGAATCTGGGTTTTTGAACGCCCTCTTGCATGTCTGAATGTCTGAGAAACAAATTTTTAATCACCTATGTGGTTGAACAAGAATCTGGAGATTCGATTCTCGTTCTAATTTGGCCCTTCAGAGTCAACAGGTTTTGAACATTAGGACTAGAGCCATTAACTATTCAGCATTTATATCGACTGGCTTTGATATGCAATGAAGCTCCACACATTTATTCGTCTATTCATTCCTTCTAATTAAGCCAATTCATCTTGAAACCTAACGAGCAAATCATTAACTAAGCGATTATACTGGCCCTGAAACCAGTCTTTTAGTGAGCCATTCTTCAATAACGTTTACTTGCGGTCAGCCTTGCCGCGGCCCAGCCACCGTCGGGCCCCAGACCCCAGCCCCTGCAGGCCGCGCTGCTGGACCTCACGACGAGCAGCACCATCAACTTCCTCTTCAGCATGGCTTTTACGACCATCCACCAACCGAAGCAGAATCTGCATCAGAATCGCAGCAAGGATACTGGCAATCAGAATCCCTACCATAACCAAGTTACTTTTTCGGTACTTCTGCCGTCCAGGAGCCTCATAGTCACTCTTCCATCCTGAGTACAGAGCGTACGTAGTCAGGACACTGCCCAGGTTGCCCCATCCTGAGACGACCGCAGAGGCGGCTGCTACACCGACCTCTCCATGGCGTGGTTGGAAGATCTCTGCAGTCCACGTCATGGTGATGGGCACAGTTGGGCCAAGGCCAAATCCGACAATCAGAAGACCGCCGTACCGCGGCCAGGGATTCTCTTCAGTTCCGGCATAGCTGGTGAGCAGCAAGCCTAGAATCTGAAGAAGAACGGGGATCGAGAAGAAGAGCGCGCGGTGACAGTGGAAACGATCTGAGAAGGGTGTAACAAGGAGAATAGCGATGAGATCCATCTAGAAACAAATTGGTTAGCCAGGAAAAAAACGAGATTACAGGGGTGGGAGAGCATACAATCCAGATAGGGGCTGTCAGCAAGCTGAGGTCGATTCCATTCAGAGACGGGTTGATCGCCTTGATAATCACGTTCGCATATAGCTGAACACCGATACCAACCCCCACAACGCCAAAGTACATGACCAACAGCGGCCAGAGTCTCCAGTCCATAAAGACATGAAGCAGGTCTCGCAAAGTCCACTTCGAGTTATGGTATACGCGTTTCATATCGTGGTAGTGGATCACCGCATCCCGGCCAGTCAAAGCAGGCCGGCTTTGTGGCAGCCAGCGCATCATCCGGGGACGCTCTGGCTCGGATGCACCAGGTGCAACAGGCCGGTCGGGGAGCCACCAGAGCTGGGCGAATCCCAAAGCAATAGTGATAACACCATAGATCAGGAACATCCACTGGAATCCGACGTAGCCCTGCGCGCCATCCATCTCTTGGAAGCCAGCAGATACGAGACCGACAACCGCCGCAGAGACCTGTGCAGCCGTGAAGTACTGGCCAATGCGCTTTCCAATGCGCGAAGGCGGGTAGAAGAGCGTGAGATAGTAGGTCATGCCAGGCCATAAGCCAGCCTCCACAATACCGAGAAGCACGCGAAGCAGACTATAGGCAATTAGTAAATATGCTCATTATGGTTTTGGTCGACAAAAGTCAGAGCCAGACATACTAGAAGCTCCAGGCTGCTTTCATCGCCACCATGCAGGTACCTATCAACCCAACACTAATTACGATACGGCTCATCCACACGTGGGGACTAAGACGGGTCATGATCAGATTCGACGGCAGATCAAACACAACATAGCAAACGTAGAACAAGGCCAACCCAGTCGAGATCTGGTGGGGAGTCAGATGCAACACCTTGGCAAGGGTATGACCAGAGTCTGCGTTCATTGTTTGCGCCAGACCAACGTTTGAGCGGATGGCGGAGCACATGAAGTAAAGAACCCAGAATGCGGGGATAATGCGCCGGTCCAGTTTTCTATTTCAATACATTAGCATTTTGGTAGAGTCAAAGTCATACGTGAATATGGCTGACCTATAGACTCTTTCAATGTTCTCGACACTGAACTCTTCTGGCTCGAGGTCGTCCATGTCCGTGGTTTCTGAGAGAGCCTGTGGTGGCTCATAGACATCTTCAGAAGGGAAATCCTTGCTTGTGCCGACGGCAGCCTGAGGTCCCTCGACCGTCATTTTTGCGATGGTTGTAGTCCTGCTATTTCTTTTGCCGGTCTTGTTTCTCGGGCGAGCTGAATTGCAGCGCCCACTCAACCTGTCAGCGGAAACAAGTCAAACTGTTTTGACCATAGAAGACTGTGTTCTAAGACAGTTCGAGCGAATGGTCCGAGTCTTTAAACCTGAGCATCGTAATCAGTGACTGATTCCTAGAGTTTATCCTTTCGAGCGAGCATCGCCGAGCAGTAACCGAGGTCTAGACCCACTGCAAAATAGAGAGACTAGGAAGCAAGAACTGCCTCGCGTCGACCTACTTTGAATGAAAACGTGCTCGGTAAGCCCCGGTCCGCTCCGTCCGAGTAAACTATGCTCGCGACAACGTTGACCGAGCGGAGGAAAAAAAAGTTGCGAGGCGGAGAAGGTCACCCGCTTGCAGATCTGATAATGGAAGGGGTTCTTGGCGATATAATGCAATGACAAAAACTCGAAATTTCCGCACCTCGTTTCCCACCGAAGAATATGTTGAGAGGAAGAATAGATACTGAATCACCGAATTCTCTTACCTAAGACAAAAGAAAAGGAATAAATGAGAAAGAAACCAGGGCGTTGAGCTTGTTGGGGTTAAGTAAATCGTCGTTCCCGGTGGGAAATTTCCTTCCGACTCTCGGCGCTCCGCAAGGAACGGGAAAGCTCTCCATAACAGGGAACATCTTCACTCACCGAGAATAACCTTAACTGCATCTGACTCATGGCTTCCACAAAAGGTTGAAGGCATTTCGCATAGCATCGGGCCCATCGGCGCCTCGGAATGGTTTTGAGTTTTATCAGGCCATCCGCTGACGATTTTTTTTACTGCTTCGCATCAATCAACAACAACAGGCTTCGATGAATCGGGAGCCTTACGCTCGACCAGGCAAGCCATTCCGTACCGATGTGCAATATGGTTGGTTTATCATAAACAAAGTGCCATCTGGAGAATTTCCCACTAAACCTCCATTCCTTCTCGATCATATATTATTGTTAGACTATGGTAACCGTGTAGTCATCTGTAAATGTATCCTTGCACATAATTCTTTTACAATCACTTTACTTATGATTTATGAATGCCTACTGATTACTTTTCCCTTGGGAATCAACATCGCCGATCTCGGTCCGATCACGTGATGTATGATCATTTGCGGGCTTTTGTTTGCGCAAAGATCTTCCATCAGACAACCAGCACTAATCATCATTCATAGAACTCAGTCCAAAGATCAATTCATATCATTGCATTCAAATATAAACAGATGAGAAGAAATAGAGATTAACAAACAGACAAACCAGGTAGACGCTCCATCTATGACATGAAAAGAAACGAAGGAATCCAAGAAATTTTTAGACTCCACCAGTGAACAGTATACAAATGGACAACCCAAGACAAACAGAACGAGGTATATACTCAGACTGGGACTTAGTTATCGATCTTGAATTTCATGCGGATACCCATAGCTGCCAACTCGACGTCCAGGAAACGCAGGACACCCGGCACAGCAACGACAGTAACGTTGTCACCACCGACAAAGCGCACACCGTCACCATCCTCCCAGGCCTCGGCACGCGAGTCCTCAAAGGTAGCCGAGCGGGCACAACGACGGCAGCGCACGATGCCGTTGGTACCGCCGAGAGCTCCAACGGTCGTCGCGCCAGCACTGAGCTTCTGGTTAGGTGCTGCCTTGGCTGCGGCAGCCGCAGCAGCCACGGCACCGGGGTTGACGGCTGCACGGCGAGACGAACCGGAGCCGGAGACGGCGACCTGGGTGGACAAGAAGGAACCGCAGTCACGGCAGATCCAGGCATGCTGGGAGTCGGAGCAGTTCATCAGACGGTCCTGCAGGAGGAAAGCGGCACCGTGGGCAATCAGGGAATCACGCTCCATCTCACCGACACGGATACCACCACCCTTGGCACGACCCTTAACAGGCTGGCCGGTCAGCGCGTTGACGGGACCTGTCGTGCGGACCTGGAACTTGTCGTTCACCATGTGACGCAGACGCTGGTAGTAGACGACACCCATGTAGATGTCGGCTGCGAACTCGCGACCCGTGATACCACTGTATAAGGGCTCATTACCGTAGTAGTTGTATCCGGCCTTGAGCAGCTGGTGGCCGAAGTAGTCGGTGGCGGTGTTCTCCTCGGAGAACTGGAATGGCGTGCAGTCTTGCGGGTGGCCGTGGAGGGCACCGGCTTTACCGGCCATGGACTCGATCATTTGGGCGATCGTCATACCTGTATTAATTGTGTTAGATTAAAGCAAAGGTGAGTTGGGCCGAAGAAAGAGAACGTTGTACTTACGGGATGGGAAGGCGTGAGGGTTGATGATCAAATCAGGTTGCATGCCACTTTCGGAGAAGGGCATGTCAACAGCAGGCCAGAGTTGCGAGCAAACACCCTTCTGACCGTGACGAGACGAGAACTTATCACCGATAATCGGCTTACGCGGGATGCGGTACTTCACACTGAGGGACTGGGCGGGCTCGTTGCCGTTCTCAGAACCCATGATGCGGATGCTCTCGATGTAGCCAGCCTCGGCATCCTTGTACTTAACGTAGTGTGTGATACCGTCGACGTTGACAAAGGAGTCAGTTGCTGCGTCGTAGCGGACGTTGTGGTAGGCAGCGATCTTATCGCCCTCCTTCACGCGCACGCCAATGTGCGGCAGACCGTCACTGTCGATCAGGGCTTTGGCCTCGGCACGGATCTCATCGCCGGGTGCGAAACCGAAGAGCTTGGTGACTTCACGTCTGGACTTGCTGCGGCGCGAGTCACGCTCGGCAAGGCTGTGCACCTTGGTCTTGTAAATGGTTCCGTGACCGAAACCACGCTCGTGGGCGGACTTGTTGATGATCATAGCGTCGTCCATGTCGTAACCGGTGTAGGAGATAATGGCGACAATGGCGTTGGTACCGTTGGGGAAGTTGTCTAAACCGTAGGCGTTGTACAGAGGTGTCCGAACAACAGGAGTCTGACCAGTTTGTAGGCGGTACAGCTTGTTGTCTGTACGATAGTTGATGGACGTACCGGGAGTACCCATGGTCTGCTTGCTCATCTGGCACTGGTACATGTTACGGGGCGACTGGTTGTAGTCGGAGAAGGGGGTCATGTTGGCCACAATCGAGAGAATGTTGGTGGGTGTGTATTCAATGTGAGTGGACAGACCGGCAATCAAGTCGGATTCCAGACAGGCAATCTCCATGAAGGGCTGCTCGAAGGGACCCACAAAGTCAAGACCCTCGTTGGCCAGATACTTGACAGGACGGTACATGCGAGCAGACTGCGAGAACATGTAGATGCCGGGGTATTGGCCGCCGTTGGAGTTGGGGACATAACCAATCTCTAGCCCGCGGGGAATGTTGTTGGTGCCGGAGACCTTCCAATACCGGAGAGTGTCGTGGATCTGCTTGGCCTGCTTCGGCGAGCAGAAACCGATGATACGACCGTCCAATTGAACGACGGTGCTGTCATCGATAGCAACGGAAGACTCGGCCCGGACACCAAGCTGAACGAGGATCTTGGGCAGGTGAGAGACATCCAGGTTATCAGTAGCGATTAGACACTTGTGAGCCAAATGGTTCAGCAGACCACAGGGCGAACCATCAGGAGTGTGAACCGGGCACAAGAAGCCCCAACTTTCAGGCAGCAGCTTACGCACGGTAGTGGTCTTCAATTGAGCGAAGAAACTACCACGGTGAATCATGCGGAAGTGACTGATGAAACGGTAGAAGTTGATCTTCTCGGCAATAACGGTGTAACCGGAGGTCTGTTGCAAATCGAGACCAGTGGGACTGACCAGGTTACCAGTGGAGAGGAAGTACTCGAGCGCATTACCGATATTCTCGTTCGACCGCTTGACGATCTTGGCCAAGAAATCTCGCTCGAAAGAGGGATCCGAGAATTTAGCACCGCCATTTCGCATGGACCAGTCGCGGGCAATGGGACCAAAAGACCGCAGCCACTCCTCGATACGCTCCTTCAGGATCATACCGTACAAGAAACCACCCAGCAAAATCTCCTGGTTTGAAACAGCATCAGGGTTGTCGGGCGCGCAATCGCCAGCAACTAGAGCGTAAAGTTTCCGGATCATGAAGATGATCATCTTGAACTTGTCGTAATCCTGAGTCTCGGTGACGTTCTGGTTACCCAGGTGAGGCAGGACGACCTTGCGCAGGAACTCCGTACCGACGTCCTCATCAGACATATCAGCAGGGACACCGAGAACCGGGCGGAAGCATTTGCCCAGGTGAGCCCGACAGTCGTAGCGACTGTGCTTGTTGTAGGCCTGGTAGGTTCTGAGGAGAAGCTCAACACGGTCCGTCACGAAAGTGTTCTTCATGCCCTTGGAAGTGGCACTGCCGACGAGGGTCTCGAAGATCTCGCGATCATTGGTCTCCACGAGAGCCTTAAGAATCATCATTACGGGGACGAGGAACTCGTTCTTGCGCCAGGAAAACCGGAAAGTGACGTTTCCATCGGAGAGGTAGTGCAAGACGTTGGTCTGGGAGGTCTGGTCGGGCCGGACGGATCGTATTTGGACACCAAACTTGGTATAAGTGTGACCACGCTTGACGAACGAACCACGAACGATGGACATGGGGTAGTTCCGCTTGCCGACGATCAACATACGGATCAGCTTCTCGTTACCGTTGACAATGAAGTATCCACCCAATTCCTCCGACTCTTCCTTGTGCGTGACGAGATCCTCCGGAGTTGCCTTCTCAAGGTGGCAGCGATTTGTGCGCATCATGATAGGAACCTGACCCAGCTCGCGCACAGACTCCATCCAGTCGCCATTGTTGATCTGGTACTCGAGACGAGCACGGAGCTTTCCACGGTACGTTGAGTGTCGTTCACGGCACTCAGAGGGGTAGATGTTTCGGTTCTTGTGGCTGAACTTGTTGGTCGGGGGGAGGGTGGGCTTGTCGAGGAAAATTTCCTTGACACGCACGTTCAGACGATTGCGCTTGGGCGCGCGACGGCCCTCGGCAATACGAGCCTGCTTCTGCTCGGGGCTCTCGGGTTCTCCATCAAGGAACGACTTGATGCCTATGTCCTTGAGACCTTCCTCCAAGATCTTGCTGCCTCCGAAGAGCTGGTTGAACGAGTCGATATGCGGCTTGATCGACTCGGCCAGGGTCGGGTAGGCGGTGTGGTCCTTGGGCGGATTCTTGAAAAGATTTTCACGCCGCAAGGTGTCGTATGCGACCGACCACTCGGTGTCGGTAGGCACGGGAGCCATGGCTGGAAGCTTGCGGAACTGGCCCAGCAGGGAAGAAGAAAAAGATTCTGGCGGTAAGAATCAGGGGAGGGTCCCCAGGGTCGAATTGGACAATAGTCGTGGCGATAGACGTGATAACCCCTTGATCTGCCTCAGCCTCCTAGGAAGAATATCCAACGAAGCGAGGGAATTGGGCCAGCAATGGCAGCTTGGATGAGAGCGAGTACAGTTCTGCTTGGGGAAATTTTTCGAGGTGGAGCCGGGTTATCCTCACGTGGTGATAGAGAGAACGTGATGCCTGAGGCGAGTAGATTGCATAATGCGGCGGGAAGGAAGTATACCAAATCAAGTTCCATCCTTGAGGTCATGTATCCAGCTCTGCGCAAGCTTTGCTATCTTGTCCATTCTTTCTTCATCTAAGTCACTGCTTATTTTTTTCGGTGGCTCCCAACTGCTGCCTCAACACCCGAGCACAACTAGCCCCACCGCCATACGCCAGGGCCTCCATGTTTTCGCTGCGCCAGTAGATTGCCATACGTCAGGCTGCGAATGGAGCGAATGGAGCAGATGGAGCCTAAGCGCCCCTCTTGGACGGCGGTCATGTGTGCCCGTAGATCCTCGACTGCTCCCGCTAGTTAATTTAGTTCCCAAAGAAGTATTATACTGTACGATATCCCGTAGTTTGTCTTCTGGATAAGAACGAGTCCAACCCTCGGCGCTACTATATTCAAGTAGGAATTCCCCCGGCGCTCCAGAAGGAAATCAAGCGCCCGGGTTGATGGTCATTGCCTGGTTCCTGTTTTCTTTTTCCCTCGTTTATTTCTCTCTTGGATTTTCTTCTCCTTCATCATCACCTTTGGCCACCCATTCTCATATACTGCCCACTGTAATTAACTCCGACCCCCGGGTATTATTTGGAGCCGCCTCACGAGCAGCAGCACCAGAACCGCCCGTCCACCATTTTCTTGTCTCTGAACGCCGCCTTTTGACCCCACTCGACCCTCTCGACCCTCCTGGTTCTTTTGCCCTTTTGCCCACTCCGGGTGGCTTTCGATCTCAACTCTGACAGCCACTCTCCTGGTCCTTCCTTATTGCTTTTCTGTTTGTCTCCGCTTGTGTCATTTTGCTTTCCACTATTTTTTTGAAGCTATCATCTACGAGGGTCTAGCGAACTGGGTGTCCACTTCTCACTATCATCCCGCAACTCCCCGTCCCCATCTCCTTCTTGGGCCTTGCTCTTTAGCCTCCTCTGCCCTCAAAATCATAATCCAAGCCACCCCAATAGCCACTCCATCCGCCATGGCCGGCATCTTTCGCAGCATCTATGACTGGCTTTTGAGGATGTTCTGGTAAGTGGGCCTGTTCAGTGCCGGGGGATGCTCTGTTTTGGCTCCCGGGAGATCCAACACGCCTCCTCCCCGGCCCGTCCCCGCAGACGAGGCCTTGCTAATAACGGATTCCGTTTCCTGCAGGGCGACGGAGATGGATGTCACCATGATCGGCCTGCAGAATGCCGGCAAATCCTCCTTGCTGCGGGTGCTAGCGGTATGTCCCTCAAGCTTTTCCAAGTTTCATCCCCAGCTCCCTCCTCCCCCTCTCTCTTGTGCCTATCGGTCTGCTGATCGCATTACGTAGGGCGGGGAATTCACGGTTGAGTAAGTTGTTCCCGGCCGAGGATCGCAACGCAACAACGGCCGGCCGCTAATAATCAAAACAGTTCGATTCCGACCATCGGATTCAACACCAAGCGTGTACAAAAAGGGCATGTGACCTTGAAATGGTATGAATGAGCCAAACTCCGAGTGTGGTCCGAGCAGCATGGCTAACATTCGCAGTTGGGATTTGGGCGGCCAGCCTCGATTTCGCCCGATGTGGGAGCGGTATTGCCGGGGTGTAAATGCGATCGTGTAAGACACTCGTTTACCAATTCTGCAATAGTCGTCGTCGATGATGCTAAAACCCGTGATCAGATATATCGTAGACGCAGCCGATAAGGCAGCGCTGCCCGTTGCCACAGAAGAATTGCACGAGCTGATGAACAAGCCCACTTTGGATGGCATCCCGCTCCTGGTGCTCGGCAACAAGTCCGATCTCCCAGCCAAGCTGTCAGTCGACGAGCTGATCGAGGCCATGGACCTCAAGTCCATCACCCACCGGGAGGTCAGTTGCTATGGCATTAGTGCCAAAGAAGAGACCAACCTGGATGCCGTGCTGCACTGGTTAATCGCACGCGCCAGCCGGTAAAAGGACCTGGCGATGCGATCGATGACTCTTTGAAACTTGACTCACCTATGTCCTCTTTGTTGTGTTTTCCATTCTTTTGGCTTCTGAGAGCGCATCTTTTCCTTCGGTTCTTCCATTGCGGGAGTTCCTGTTTATATCTCGTAGACTCTAGCGTGTTGGCTCGCAGCCTCGGATTTGACGATGTCCATGATTCATGGTTTTTCTTGTCTTTTTCTTTTTGTTCGAATCTGTCTTTTTCAGTCTTTCTGATTCTGGGAGCAAGCAATTTCTGGGAATCGCAAGCTAGCCAGTTGCTCGGTCAAAATGATCTAACGGCCTATGTTAATGAGCAGCATTTTGTGTGTAAGTGAAATTTGATGTTTGGCTTTGTTGCAGCGTGGCCCAGGATATCAAACCCGGCAGCTGTTTCTTCTTCTTATCATGTCTCGGAAATTTCAATCGCATTTTTAATCCGGTCACAATTGATTTGAGCTCGAGTGGAGCTATGGCTCGCGAAAAAAACCAACAGTGGGAAAAAAGCGGCGACGATGGCTGGTGGCCGGTCATAAATAAGTCCAACGCACACACGGACCAACTGATGCGTTGGCATTGCAGACGAACCGGCCTCGAATCAACACGTAGCCAACACCCCCGCCAAGGGAACACGATCAAACGATCCGGTAGAAGAAGCTTGAGCGAAACGAGCTATGATATTGTGGAGCTGAACGAGGTACTGTCTACTGCATAAGGATATCTTCTCCCAACTGAAGTGTATTTGGACGATTTCAATGTTTCCTACAACGTATAGTAAAGCTGGTCTCAAAATTGTAATAGGCCCGGGGTTACTGCAGACAACAGATTGCCCACATGTGATGAGTGATTAGACATTAACCTTTCAGAAAAAAAGAGAAAAATAGACTCGGCGCAATTTAAAGTTGGTTATGCTCGGTGGATAAAGACCCTGGAGCCCCGTGGGTCTTGCGTCGGGGGAATCATCTCGTAGCGGACACGCTAGGGTACAAGGGGGCGGGATACTGTACGGAGTATCCAGGACATCAAGGCTAGGTAGGAACTAGAGTAATGTACTTCGGTACCACTCTCCTCTCCTCTCTCCTCCTTTCCTGGCAATCTGCAACTTCCTGCACAGAGGCATCCCGCTTGCTGCTACTACTGTAGTCCAGGCGATATAGCTCCGAGGCTCTCACCTTCAAAGCCTATTCTCATCCGTGATACAGTAATTTTCGAAATCAGTTTGACCTTGTACTCTTCGGACTTGATTCCCGGAAAATGGATCCTGAATGTGCTAGTTCCGATTGGATGTTATTCCGAGCACCTTTGCCTAGACCGCTTTCTATAATAATCCATGTATTTTACAATACTACTTCAGTACCACAGGTAGTGTATTTTACACGAAATTAGCAGAACACAAGATCCTTTTATTTCTCTCCCCCTTAACAATCTCAACTTCCTGCACCAAAGGCTACCTACTTAACAGTCTTTATTTAGGCGAAATAGCTCCGAAGACTCGCCTTTCAAAGCCTATGCTAATTAGTGATACATTTCCGCCACAAAGAAAAATTCCTCCAGGAAACGATACGACACCTTGCCGATTTGTATGAGGAGAGAATTGAGGTTCGGGACAATGCACCCACAAAGGAGAAATTAGATGAAACTTGAGGAAACTTGAATTGGAGACGAAAATCAACCCAGGTCCATGCCGTCAAATTGCGCAGTCAGCTGGAACGGCCCGCCGCATTGCTCATGATAATCTAATACCTCCGCATACATGATCGTCTTCCAGACGTTTACGGAAAGATCCGCTTCAAGGAATGACCAGTCGCAAGATTTTGGTGCCACAGGCTCATCTTCAGGATCATGGTATGGAGCCAGATATTCAGACTCGAGTGCGTCGGCGGCAGAACAGCGTTTCTCTGGATCAAATTGGAGGAATGTGTCCAGTAGATTGATGGCTAGGTGTGCCAGTCAGCTATTACTCAGCGTATTTCAAGTTTCAACAAGGGTTGGGTACCTGTTCTGCAGGCAGTAGGGATGATAGTGGCCAGAGACTTACGAGACCTCTCGGGGAGGGATCTAATAAATTTCAAAGTCTAATAGTGCAAGAAGTCAATAAGCTGTTCAAGGTAAAAATGTGATCAAATCGAACATTTTCACTTGTAATGTTGGCCATAACGTTACCGGGTGGATTTCCCAGGAGCTCTGTGATGACACAGAATTGATCGATATGATTCTTCCCCAGGAACAGCGGTCGACCCGTCATCATTTCGGCAAAGATGCACCCAACACTCCAGATGTCAACTTTTTCGTTGTATCGTTTCCAAGTGAGCATGATCTCTGGTGCACGGTAGTATCTCGTCGAGACATAACCAGTCATTTGTATTTCTTGGGAGCGAGCTAATCCAAAATCGCAGATTTTTAGGTCACAATTCTCGTTGATTAGGATGTTGCTTGGTTTGAGATCGCGATGGATAACACCGGCTGAATGTAGGTATTTGAGACCTCGCTAAGAATCAAGTTAGCAATCATGGTTAAAGAAGAGGATCGTGATTGGTGATCACCATAATTTGGTATATAAAGTACTGCGCAAATTGATTGTCGACTTTTTTTGTTCTCAAAAGAGCGTGAAGATCCGTTGCCATGAGATCGGTGACAAGGTAACTTCGAGGCATTAGATGAGTTTAAGTAAAGGGAAATTGTCCTTACATCTCTTCAGATGGAGATATGAAAATATCTTTCAAATGAATGATCTATATGCTTGTCAATATTGTCTTGCCTGATAAATTACTGGGCGACGGACATTGTCATGTTGAAGTTGCTTCAATAACCTAACCTCGCGATACATATGCTTGGCAATGTTGTCTGTCTTGAAGGGCTGACACAGCTTCTTTATAGCAACATTTTGGTGACAAATGTGGTCTTGTGCGGAGCTAAGTCATGCAATTAGCCTTGGCCAGGCTTGCCATTGAGGTGACCTTACCAAACAAGCCCAGTAATACCCATACCCACAGGCTCCAAATGCTGATACCTTAAATATGAAACTTAAGAATTTGCTTCCAGCTCAGATTGCATTACTTGTCAATACCTTGCTGTGGTTTCAAACAGCGTGCCCATTATGTTCCTCTGGGTAAAATAGGCCATCCCCTGCCCCGAAGCAAGTGTTGTATCCAATGATTTAGACATGGTAAATTACCAGGAACTCCATTAAAATTCAGAATTCTTCCTATGGTTCCCATAGGTTAGTATGCGGCCAGTGTTCAGTTAAAATATTTAAGTGTTGAAGAAAGTGATGAAGCAATAGATGGGATGTGAGCTAATATATCATAAAACGCCCATACCAGATCCACAACACCCATCGTTTGCTCGTGGCTTGTGGCAAGGCCTGTGTGACGTTAGTCACCGGTCCGCGACTCGAAGGGAGAGAAAGATGATATATAAGAAGCTCTGAATCTATCCTCTGATTCCTCGGCTTTCACCTTTTAAAGCTCCTTTGCTGATCTCTCATTGCCGCACATGATCCAATTTTGAATATTCATTGGTCGGCTGTTTGTTCCATACAATCGACGAGCCGCCATTCTCCACAGTCTCCGGTCTGAGCTGTGCATCCGGAGTGGCGGAAGGCGTTGCTCATCATGATTGGCGATGAGTCATCAATCTCTGACAACGCGACCGCCACTTTCGTTTTTTTGCGGGGTTGGTGAGCCAATCATGAAGACAGATGACCCACTGACGGAGATTTTGATTGGAGGGCATTTTGCTCCGAAATGATTGCTCATGTCTATGATGTATGAATGCAACCCCGTTAAAACCTCCGTGGAGATAGGAAAACAATATTTGATTCCGATTGTCATTCACGGAACCTGAATCCAGTCAATCAAGGTACTAAAGATGAAGGAGTATAGCTATCTATATACTAGCTGCCATAGCGTTGGGACTCGTATGACATCAACGCTGTCGTCTCATTTTGCTTATGACCTTGGTAAAACTCTCGAGATAATACCAATTATGCATGATATGACTGCACAGTGCTCCGGCACTATGCCCAGCTATAGCGTCACCAGATCAAGAAAATCTTCAACTATCGCTTCGGGGCAATCTCCAAAGCTTCCTATCGGAAGTGTGACTGGGTGCTCTGGTGCGCCTTGGTCCTTAGGAAACGACCCGTCGTAGCATGTACTTGTTGAAAAGGCAGGGGCATTTCAACGGCCCTGAGCTGCTTTCAAGGATGCTTTGCGTCATTCTAGCCAGCTTGTTGTTGATACTTTGTTGTTCGCATTTGGCGTGTTCGAAGATCATGTTTTTGAGGTACCAAAATTCGTCCTTCAATCGTCCCACTTTAGACAGCAAGCAATCACGCTTAGCTGTTTCGGTGTTCAATAGAGCCTGCATCCTCGCGTGCTCCTGCTTCTTCTTCAATCGGCGCTTCTTGGCAGAAATGCGATTGCGCTCAAGATGCTTAGTCCTTCCGGGGTTGACCTCGTTGCTTGTTGCTGACCTTGTCGAAGCCGACAAGTCCGTTGAACTGGTTGTTCAAGGAGGGATTGTAGGCTTATAGATAGCATATTAGATTCCTTCGAAACTTGCTTCTTATATGGCTTTTCCAGAAGAAAATCCTTCTCGCTTTGCGATGGAAAGAACGATGATAGCCATGGTAATTCCGTTATTATTAGTGTAGATGACTGTAATGGTTGTATTGATGTAGGGAAGAACGGTGTCTTGAAGTATCCAGTGTAATGGCTGACTTGGGAGGATAAAGTAATGTTGCCATTGTTGGATGATAGCTGGCTGAGAGAGGAATATGTTCTTTTGATGTTGAAGCTATAGAGTGAGAAGTCTAGAGAAATATAAGTAAATTGAGGAACGTATACCTATCATACTTGAAATCTATCTCAAGAATCTACGAGGCGAGATGGCACGCGGAAAGCGGAGACCACTATCTTGGTGTATGACTTTATGATCCATAGTCTAAGGTACGTCAGGGACGAGGCTGCTTGATTAGAAGCATAACGTGGTAATAAGGCTAGGGTTTTGTCAGCCTACCTCAAACCTGAAACCGATTAGATCTTTGATAAAGGATTCCGGTCCGTTAGAGCCCAGCGCTTGAACCCTACTGGCCGGAGTTTTAAGCGGGGGTTTATCGAAGTACATGTTATGTTCCTTTGCTAAGAAGTTTGATACTTGTAGCATATCATAATCAGGTTGAAGACCACTAAACCTATGACATCGAATATCTAAAAATTACCCGACACCATCGCGCATGGATTTTCAGTGGCAGGCCATCCATTCAAGGCACGCGGGAAATTCAACGGACGGAAGGGTGGTCAATTGGCGATGACAATGATGAAAAATCCTCCTCAATGGGTACAGAGAATAGGAGCAATGGTTCTACGATCATAGTCAATAGTGAGCTATAGAGCAATGATGAAGACTTGATTCTTATTACCCCTCTGTTGATGATTTCATAGATGATCAAAGCTCCATTCCAACTATCAGATTCGCAGAATGGTCTTGGCAGATCGCCGGATCTATCGAGCTCGATGTATCATTACAGAATGGTTACAGTACGCCATTGGTGGTGTTACGGGTCGTTACTACCATAATTCTGCCAAATTGATAAAGCGGTGACCCTATATAGGATTAGCGCATTGCGGATCAATTTTCCGGGAATCAAGTCCTAAGAGTTCAAGGTCAAACTGATTTCGAAAATTACTGTATAATTGAGAATAAATCTCCCATCATATCTAAAATGGCCGAACAGGCTGAATGTAGCACGCAGACCATCATCGATACCCGTAACAACCTGCGACAATTTAGAAGCATTTACGCTCCTCAGATTTGAGTAGGTCGGAAGCGACCCGTGACGCCCCTAATGATCAACGCCCTCTATAATCACCTATCTGAAAAACCCCAGCCTCTACCTCGAAAAGATAGTTGTATTCCTATAGGATGAGTTTCAGACTACAGCTACCACCTCCAGCATCAGAAGAGCCCTGATCGCCAAGGGCTAGTCTAAAAAGACTGCGCGACAACATGCCAAGGAGCAAAATGCCAAATTACGAGACTATTACCTGTATAATCTGTCCGACTTTAAATCGTACTGTAAAGAGATCAGCCTGGGTCACCTGACTTCCCACATAGGGCCAAAAAGACCACTATATCCGCGATCAGCGGATATGGCCGAGGGACCAATATATATAGTATCGCACTGTAACACCCGAAGGGTCATATGTGGATGGCCTAACGAATAGGGCCAACCGTACGGTAGACGCAAGCTACCAGTAAGACGTTTCCGGGATCCCGTTTGTATAGAAATTTGTAGAGATTTTATCGGAAACAGAGAGCACGGTCAATATGTGCCGCACATAAAAGGGACGTGGATCTTACCATGATCTCGGGTGTTTATTGTGACGAGTCGACATACTTACTCGTTCGCCCGAGCTGAAAAGCTGCTCCACTCAATACGTCATAATGCAGGAACTCGAAGATATAATTGTTTGATTGGTTTATTGGAACGATTTCTTGTTCGTTCAAGGGCAGCTGCAATGTGGGGATTAACTACAACAGACTCCAGCTGAGAAATCTGCATGACGTGATAGAGTGACGGTGGTGGAATGAGCGAATTCCGTATTTGAGATGTGGGGAGGGGACCCTTCCATTAAGCTAGAAAAATTAATCATTCGTCTCTTCAGTTGTTGATCGAACAACCTTATCAAAATGCCTGTATGCACCATGGCAACAAAGAATGCCACCCCACCTTTTTACATCGAATCCTGTAGTGTTTTGTAGATCTGGCAAGATCGTCTGCCCGTTCTCCGCTTTCCCACCAGTTTAATTCTAGTTTGCTGCTTTCTCTCTTATTTCCCTATATAGCGCAATCTTGTGTATAGTATTGCTTAACAAAAAAAAATTGTTACCGGTTCCATGATTGTTTCATGTAATATAGAGACCATCTTAAAAGACCAAAAAAGAGGGATATTCGTCATCTGTCTTATCAGGAAGTTCTCCTTATGTTGAACTTTTTCCAAAAGAACTCGCCCGAGTGAGGAGGCATAACTAATTTAGAAAAATACTGTAACAGATGAAACAATTCGGTCTAGTCTACGGTACTTGTGCGTCTTCTCGGCTAGCCACTTGCCTTCAGAAGCCGTGGAGATGGGTTTTCGGCCCATCTGTTCTTCTCTTTGAACCATAACATCGGGTCCTCATCGTTCAGCTCTGACCCACAATGCCCCCCGCCCAAAAGTCTGTTCCTATATCCATACAAAAGGGCGAAGGTTAACAAATCTCACATCTAGTAAATCTTCAACCTCGTGGTCTATCAAGCCTAATCACTGTCTATGCGACACCACAAACATGACTCATGGCTGAGGCCCACATAAAAAGTGATAAAATCCTCCGGGGAATATACCTTTGTCTCCGCACTACTGGAGAGGATATTCGAGTGGCGATTATTAAGATCGGCGGGTTAGGCAGATATTATGGGGCTTCTTGCATTCATCTACGAGTTATTTCATCATTGATTGCCTCATCCAGCCATTCGCACCAACTCTCGGTAAAAGGTCTTGGACATCGCGGAACCGCTCGCTTGTGCGATGGCTATTTATTGGACATCCTGGCCTGTCCTGTAATCCTTCCCAGATTTAAACAACCTGCACCGGTCCTCGCATTGTTCTTCCAGTGACCATCCACCATGGCCGAAATAGACGAGAGCAAAGAATATATGAAACTCTTCGCAAGCAGAAAGGAGGGCTACTATCTATACAGACCCTTGAAATACGAGGATATACACCCGGGATCGGTCGGATTTTTCGACGACAACAATAGCTGGAATGAGATTGCAGACATATCCAACCTTGAGAAGCTAGCAGCGGAAGGCTTCTCTGGCCTTACACCTCGCCTTGCACGCTCTATATCAAATTTACGAAGTGACTCATGTTCATGGAACACAAGGTCCTCTGAGACCGAGTCTGAACGGAGCTACCGTGGGAAGGCAGGCGCATCTGGTGCCGCAGGTGGTGTTCCGGTCGAAGGCTCGGGTGAAATGAAGTACAAGACAGGCTCAAATGGGAAAGCTGCTCTCGTTGCCGACGGCCTGGTGAAAATGGAGCATTACCCGCATCCGTTCGGGATCTCAATTCCAGAATGGGCCCGGAATAATGCAGATGCGCTCATTGAGAAAAGTGGCAAACTTGCCAGAGAGCATGGACTCATTGCAGTCCAGTCTGTTTGGATCACTGACTCATGCGCTATCAAAATGAGCAGTGGCAGCAACCGCGACATCGATTCAGCGCTTGACGTTGGCGCGACTGGACTTGGTAAGCTAGGTGGGGGCGCAGCTTTCATCGACAAGCTTTCAACTGAAGGCTGGACAACATATAAGTCGGAAGATGTGAGATCAATTTGCTCTGTGTTGAAATAATGAGGCGCTAATCATGCTGGGTATAGGGATCCAAGGGCCGAGTTGTGTCGTTCAACGGAATCAAATTCAAGCCTCGGAAGTTTACCAAGTGGTTCAATTCCAATGTAAGTATTTCTCCCAGGACTTGATAGAGCCCACTAACAGCATATAGCCTTTCAAGGAGGTATCTGTTATAGAGAAGTGCGCTGACGTGTCAACGACACTTCCAATCATGCGTCCTATCTTTGACGAAGAAGAGAACCTTGTGGGCTTCGAGGAAGTCAAGCCTGTGAAGAACAGTGCGTGCGAATGGGAATTCCAAAAGGTCCCAGACAGTGCGAAGCCGCAAAAGGACGAATTGAAGGAAGTCCCCGAAGGCGAGGGCTTCGCCGTAGAAGTCAATGACATCGAATGTGAAGGTATATCTGAAGAGGAGATCGAAGAGGAAAAGCAGTACCAGGAGGCAGAAAAGAAAAAGCGCAATGAAGAAATGCTAGAGTCGTGGAAAGCTCTTGTGGCAAAACTTGAGGCTGTGAACCAAAAGCTCAGAGAGTCAGGAGAGGCGCAACGCGAGCTTGAGGAGCTGCAAAAAGCAAAAGACTCCCAGTCTGAGGAAGTTTACACGGAGATCATCAATGTCAAACCCCCTGCAGGGAGATAGCCGCCTTGAATTGTACTACTTAAATCCGTTTGTGGAAAATAACAATCCGGCTCTCTTTAGCTAGGCACAATCATACAGCAATGACCTTCTTGTGAACTAGTTGGCTGCAACAAACGAAGAAACGAGAAATCTTTTTTGAGGACACGACCAAACTCTTGCGTTTAATGAATAAGTAACCATGATAGGATAGCACTTCACGAAGGCAGTGATGCGACTTACTTAGTACACACACACACACACAATTCATTAACGCCCGGCGGCTGAGCCGAAAGGGCAACTATCACTGATCTAAATATACATGCCGTAGCTAATGCTGTGCCTCCTTGGAGCCCAAACAAGCTTCTTTTCAGTGTATGTCATCTCAGCTTACTTAGTACAGTCGATTTCGAAAACAGATTACCCCTTGACACACAGACTTTGTTTCTCGGCCCGTATCGGGGTATGCACTAGTCTGTATCAGGAAAATCTGTAAAATAATTACTTCCGAAGAATAGATATTCAAAAACCTAGGATGACGGAATAATGTAATTTATTGTACAGCGGCGCTACTAAAGTCTGTGACCCCTGGTTGACCGCCTTCAAAAGATAGACTAGTGCTTGCCTAAACCAGAAGTGATAGACCACGCTATACTTCTTAAGGTGGCTCCTAGGCCAGCATAGGAAAGCGGAGACAAAGGCGGTCAACCAGGGGGTCACAGACTTTGGTAGCGCCACTGTATATTCCATGTATTGCTTCTACACAATTTTTTTCAATGCCACTTCATTCCAACCTTGGCATCTTTCCTTCCGCAAACACCTCGAATCGCCAGAATCATATATGCACTCCATAGCACCCAGGCTACCCCCTCCAGGCTACGTCTTATTCGTGATATGATACGAGTCACTGACCAGGTCTCTAATAGCCGAAGCAATTGAGTGCAGTGAACAGATGATCAAAAATGTTCGCAGGAACTTACGACTGTCCGGAAGGTTTCATTCCCCCTTGAACAGTATCAGTCGGAGACGAAGCGTGACACTTTAAGCCCCCCACTCTTTCATCGTACCAAATCCTAAGTGCCAAGATAACTAGACCTTATTGAGCAATAAAAAAATAGTAACCTTCCGGTTTTTCTACACAAACAGTCAGAAATAAGTTAGCTTTTGTGTGTACGGCAGATACCAGGATTGCTGGATCCTTCCCGAGCAATGCGAACAAATCAAACCACTCCAGCAGTGCTGGATCTTGCGACCTGACAACTTATCATCTTCTACGTCCATGTAGCATGTCCCGAGTGGCAATCCTAGCGGTTACCCGCAATCTTAGAGCCGTTGGCAAACCCACCTCCGGACTACACAGGCTGACCTACCAACTTCAGACTGATGGAAGATCCAATGATCCTGCTGATCACCGTACTCAGCCTGTCAGACGCAATTCTCCTTACCTTATACGTGGTGGCAGTCTCTTGTTTCCAGCTAACGTACGATGGCATCATGAATAGGCTCCTTAGTACTACTGCCTGGAGGGGATGGCTTACGCTGCTTTCGATAATGATCACATTCTACCAACCTTATCTGCCTAAACTACGGGACCCGACTCCTTCGTACACCTCTACAGTGGCGACCGTTATTGCCTTCCATATCGGAAACACGGTGTTGTTCTTTCGAACCCTAATCACATGACACGCTACGCCTATTATGGATAGTTTTGTGTGGTGAAGACATGTTCTAATGTTGAATGGTAAAATACCAATCGCGTACAAAACGGGGTGAGCCGTACAGTGACAGCAAAAGTTTGGACACCTGTTCCGATACCGCCTTCCTTAAGCAGACATACCGCCCAGTATCCTCAGCCCATGATTAGTGGAGGCTTGACTGTCAGAATCCGGTGTGCCAAACTTTTGCTATATCACTGTACACATGTCCATGTTGTTATAGCTCTAATAATAAAAGAAAGCCCTATGATGTCGTCCTAACTTAAGTGCCCGAGCTCAGGCGTTAACTACATTTCAACCCCGAGTGGGCTACATTGAGCCGAGAGTAAGGGAGGTGCTGTGAAACCAAAGGAGGCGGCCAAACAATCTGCCTCCGTTTTGTATGAATTACTGGAGTCATGTGATTAACCGTCTAATTATCCTAGATTATTCGATGTGCTCCGACAAACCAACAACAAACCTAACATGACTAACCTATCCCCTTATCGTCCCTACCGCATCCAACCATCAATCGAAGCCTTCGAAGTTCCCATTCACAAATACCTACACCAGCAGCCTGAAATCTGCGGCATCCTCAGTGCAGCCATAGTGATTTGCAAGAACCGAGTCTTGCTCGTACAACGCGCCGCCGATGACGACTTTCCCAACCTGTGGGAAGTCCCCGGTGGCACCGCCGACAAAGATGAAACGATAGTTCAATGCGCCGTTCGTGAATTGTACGAAGAGGTCGGCCTAGTTGCGTCTACAGTGGTGGCTATGGTCGGTGAGGCTGGATGGACTGCAAGTGACTCGGGGGGCAGCGATAGCCGGGAATGGGGTACCTGGAAAGTGTTTTGCTTCTTAGTCATGATTGATGGTGCCAACGAGGAATTAAACCTGAGAATTCAGCTTAATCCACGCGAGCATCAGGCGTACCTCTGGGTAACAGAGACCGATGTACGTCGGGGCTTTCATGGTAACACCCGCTTGAATTGGATATCATCAAATCAACCCCAGGCTATACTGGCGGCTTTTGAATCTGCCAGGCTTAGTGGATGGTGAACTACTCGTTCTTGACACAAGTCATGAGTATATGAGTATCAGGGCTACGATAGATTTGAAAGATAGAGCCTTATCCGTGATAGTGTCAGCTTGAACGGTTAACTGTTTCGAAATCGAGAGACTGGAACAGCGGACACAAAGTGCAGGCGGCGTTGGGCAGCATAATCACAACAAAACCTTAGTATTATTACCGGTAACTACCGGTATATGTACACAACCGATGATTTACGTAATATTAATTTAAGTTTAGCGTCTCATGTGACTAGGGTTTGAGAAAGTCATTCTATGTTTCCGACATGGAAGGCAATAACGGCCGCCACTATACACCTGGCCGTGAATAGACACCATCTGTAATCTGCTCCTCCCCCGATCCTAAGCCAATATTCAGTGAGTGTTCACCGTTACACAACCCGCATTTTGATCAACTGGGTTTTATGCTAGAAGGTGAGGCGGATGACGGAGAAAAACTCGGGAAGCGACGGTTAGATTTTGTTCATTACCAGATCTAGTGGAGGGTAAAACTGAATAATTGTGTGGTGGCAAACGACACGGAACAAGACTTAGCTCTGCCACCTAGTTCCTCCTGGGAGCGGATGAAGGATACGGCTGGGAACGTTCTGCGGAGAAAGATTGCTGGGAAATGTTGATCGCTTCCAGGTTTAGCCCCGGTTAGAGCCACTCTTTCGCGATCTACAGTACCTCCCTGTGTGTCCTTTGAAATATATAGGAAGTCTCTATCAAGCATAGTTGGGGTCTTCTGCCTCGCACTGTGGCCAAAGGCTTTTCCGAAGCCGAATACCTTCCATGTACTCACGACTCCTTGTATCATGCACATGACACGCAACTCCAACCTCTTGACACCTCTGTTGTAACCATTCAACTTTTACATCCTCCTCTGGACTACTTGATTGCTTGTAGGTCTCAATATGAACCGTGGCAATCGTAGGGAACTTCCCTGAAGTGGCTATCTCCGCCAAGTCGTCTAGGACGTCACAAAAGTCCTCCCACCTAATGTCCAGGAACAATGTGTCCAGTGACGAGGAAATCACATCACTTATCTTTCGTTTGAGTGAGCCTTGTTCTTTGAGTCCCACGAGATTGTATAAACTGAGACGGAGAAATTTCAAGGCAGAAAAATCGACAAATGACCCCATCCACTCATGGTCCTTATGGCCGTCTAATGCGTATTCGTCGTGCTCAACCCAGATAGCCTCCAGTGTGGATTTGTGCAGTGAGAGTGAATTGTAGAGTTTTCGGGGCTGTATATTATCAAATGAGATGCATGCTCCACCATGGATGATCCGGAAGGACTTTAGCGTTTTGCAGGCCCGGATCCATTCTCGCATTCCCTCCGCAGCATTGGTTTTCGAGAGATCAATATTCGTTACATTTGAACATCGAGGTGGGAGGCTAAGATCCTTGAGAATCTCAGTAGGGTCAGGAATCTCAGTAGAGTCTGGCCCAAGATCCTCTTCCTCCTTAGCATTCTCCGCGACTCTCCACCCACTGACTTTGCGCACAGATGGAAATTTGAAGAACGGATGCATCTGATACGAGGCGACGGCATTTTCCGTATCATACCAACACATGTTAACTTCTTCAAGATGAGGGAAACAAGCTCCTTCATTGATAGCAGCTTTGTTGAGCATTATGCTAACATGGGAGGAGCCGAACGGCCATTCAAAGCTGATTTTCCGTAGACTTGTCAGTCGGGGAATGAGCAATGCGAGCCAGGCATCGTCGTAAAACTCCTCGAGATCCTGTAGCCATTTCGATTTCTCTTCTTCGGGGTAGTCGCTTGCTTCATCAACTATTTTCCGAATAAGAGCACCGTCAAAATTGGGTCTTTCGATGGTTTTCTCGGGTTTCCTGTTGGTTTCCCAGTCGTCGTAGGTTTCCCAGGCCGCAAGTGCCAGAGACTGGACCCAGCCAGCCAATTTCGGGTTCCGGGCGATAGTGTAGAGAAAACTCTGGGCCGTATTCGCTTTTTTTGTTCCGAGAGTCACGTTCGTGTAGAGTTTCCGTTGAAACACGCTGTGCATTCGATGCGAGGTGGATATCAGGTTGCGTGTGTCCTTATGATTGAGGTCACTTCCGATCAGTTGCAGCAATTCCAGCGGGAGGTCAATTATAGACATTTTGATTGCGATATGTGCTCAAGTTTCGTCTGCGGGATAATGCAGATTTATGAACTCATCGTGATGGACGTACGGAGGTCGGCTTGGCGGCTACTAGCGTAGGCAGACGTGGGGCCCTAATCAACCTAGACCCGGATGCCTAGTTTTCGTCCAAGATCACACAGAACACTATCCTGTGGGCGGTCTTTCTGGGGCATTGCTGGTTGATCAACTACGCCTTGAAAGATCTTTTCAAATAGTACCGGTCGAGACGGCTTTTTGTCTAGCCTTGATGTTTGGTTTCTCCTATGATTTCTAGGTTTCCCTACATCTTTTATGTGAATGCAAAGGCACTATTTTATCGGCATGTCCAGACCCACACATATATGCAGTAGTATGAACTTGTCGGAATAATAAATGACCATATAAATGTCAGAAATGAGGTTGTCGCGGATGAGACAGGATAGGACCGATCAAGGTCCTCGAGATCTGCGTCAGCCTACGTGGGAGGTTTCACACTCCAGCTACGAATAGAACCGGCAGAGAAAGCTTGAACCACAGGCAACAAAAACGAGAACCATATTTGCCTGCCAGGGTTGCTCCTCTAAAGCAATAGCCCACTCTTTGCCATGAAAGATGCAAAAAAGAGATGAAGACAAAGGCTGTGTGGGTGAAAAGGCTGGAAGGCAGGGTTAGGGATTACGCCGGGTCGCCAGAGCGATGACCCCTCCCCTGCCCTCCCTGAAATGTTCTGTACAGATTTTCCAGTATTTTACAGCGATCGAACCTCGAAACCCAATACATTCTCCATACGCAATACAACCGAGTGGCGACCGTTCCAGGGTAACTAAATAAGGCTTAGCGTATACACGGGTACGGGCCGAGAAACAAAGTCAGTGTGTCCAAGGGGTAATCTGTTTTCGAAATCGACTGTACAGTGGCGCCGCAAAAGTCTGAGACCACCCTACTGACCGCCTTTCTTAAGATAGACTAGTGCTCGATTAAACTAGAAGTGATAGACCACACTATACTACTTAAGGTAGCTACTAGTGCAGCATAGGAAGGCGGAGAAAAAGGCGGTCAACAAGGGGGTCTCATACTTTTGCGGTGCCACTGTAGAATTCGAAAACAGATTACCCCTCGAACACACTGGCTTTCTTTCCCAGCGCCCCGCCCGGACTGCGCTAAGCCTATTTTGGTCAGAGAAAGTCCCCACCCTCTTTCCTTGATGTATCTCCGGTAGATCATTAAAATTACAGTTATTACAGGTTCCGGCATTAGGCAATACAGAGGATTTCGAAAACAGATTACCCCCCTAGACACACACGCTTTCTTTCCTAGCGCCCCACTAATACTGCGCTAAGCTAGTTCTGGCTAATTGAAGCCCGTTCCTCGACGTCTGACGCCTATCATTGGCTGCAGGAGAATTAGAACCCGGGCGGTCCGGACTAGGCGCCAAAGTGGGTCTCTGGGAGAGTAAACGTGTGTGTCCGGGGGGGTAAACTGTTTTCGAAATCCACTATATTACCCCTTAGACAACTACGGTGCTTAGTCGGGTGAATAGGTGCTTGTAATTGTGTTGCCCGACGCGCCCTTGACGTCATTAGCCCTGACACTGCCTCCATTAAGGCTTAAAAAGACGGGAATGCCCATCAATATGTATCAGATTACGTCGTCAAATTCCTAAACCACGTTTCTCATACTATCTTTAAATCCCGTATCTCATATTTCATACCTCACATCTCACATCGCCGCTTTACTCACCCAACATGGGTACGCCAGTAATAATCGACTTCAGTGCATTCACCCCAGGGCGACCCCCACGTCCTGGCGGCGGAGGACTAGAGGCAGCAGCAAACCGACGCCGACAACGCATGCAACGAAAGGCCCAAGAGCAATGCATGCAACGAGAGGCCCAAGAGCAAACCATCAAAGAGGCCGATATACCATCGCTTATAACCGCCGTCGTCGGAGACAATTTCCAGAAGACATCTACCCGCAAAGAAAGTGAGTTGGAAAAGGCGGAATTATCGCAGGTAGAAAACGACCTAGTGAAATCGGAAAGACCTGGGCTTTGGAAATTAATTAAGAAGAGGTTGAGTGGTAGGAGTGGGGATAAGTAAATTATGCGTGGAGTCGACCTTAACGAACATTTTTTAAGTTGATGCCGAGCCAGGGAATGAAAGCATACTATGTATATCATGGTTTCATGTAATATATAATATCATACGTCACACGACCGGCTTTGTATTAAGAATGTCTTTTTTTCTTAGTTACCTACTTATAGTCATAAAATAGCGGAGTTTCAGGTGAGAGACGGGAGGCAAAGCGTATATGTCTAGGGGGGTAATCTGTTTTCGAATTCCAATTGTGGCCACGGGCCATTCGGTAAGTATGGTCTGCCTAATGCCGGAACCTGTAATAACTGTAATTTTAATGATCTACCGGAGATACATCAAGGAAAGAGGGTGGGGACTTTCTCTGACCAAAATAGGCTTAGCGCAGTCCGGGCGGGGCGCTGGGAAAGAAAGCCAGTGTGTTCGAGGGGTAATCTGTTTTCGAATTCTACTGTACTGTATACGCTGCCTAGCCAAAGGTATGTAGATAGCCCCACCGTGGCGTCCAACAATGCCACATATATCTCAGTTACCAAATAAATATTCCCCCTTCATGCTGCAAAGTTAAACCACTAATAAGTAATTAGTACGGTGAATTTTCATAAATTCCAATACAGCTAGCATATACACTGTGGGGCTATCTATAGTACCAGCTGTAGCCAGGCAGTGTAGGATACAGGTGGATATATTGGACGCCACTGTGGGGTTATCAGAAATATTTGGGCCAGAGAAAGTACCAGGAATGTCAGCAGATCCTCCAACCTTGCATGATTATTGATGTAGCGGGAAACTATTCGAAAATTATCAATAATCTAACCTTAAGGTGAGAATAGAAAGCTAAGCATAACAAAAAATATCGCAGGAGGTTCCAGTATAAATACCCTTGCAACAATAACCTTCTTCATCTGCTTGAATGACCAGGTCTAGTATTCGTCCCTTCTTCTGTCCCAAAATAGCTGCATCCCAAAAAGCTCATCAACATGAAATTACTTCTCATTCTTTCTCTAACACCTTTCATATAGGGTGTCCTAGGCTCTACAGAAATTTCAGGCGGCTCTCCTGCTACTATTGACAGCCTTCCATATCTGGTCAGCATTTCGCGCTCAGGAGTCTTTAAATGTGCTGGTGTCATCATTAGCGGTCGAAAGATTGTCACTTCTGCACAGTGCGTATACGGTATGGAGGCATCACCGTCAAGCTTCTCAGCAAGAGTAGGGTCAAGCAAAACGTCCTCTGGAGGATCTGTATATGCGGTATCAAAAATTTCTCGACACCCGCAGTACAACCGTACCACAGAAGACTTCGACGTTGCCGTTCTTGAACTCGTCGCCTCTGTTTCACCTGGCCCGCATGTCCAGGTGGTTGGATTTGTTTAGCCTGGTCAAGATCCAAAGGATGGGTCTGAATGCGTGGCTTCTGGCTGGGGTGACTCGGAGCGACAATTACAATCGGTTACACTCCCAATTGTGAACCGAGACACCTGCAATCAGGCTTATGATGGCATCATCACCAATCGTATGATCTGTGCTGGCTCGGAAGATGGTAAAGGTACCTGTCCAGGAGACCTTAGTGGCCCCGTTACTTATGGTGATAAACTTGCTGGAATCATTTCGCAGTCTCATGGATGCGACCTATCTGGTCGTCCAGATGTTTTCACCGATGTCGCTAACTCTAGTATTCAATCTTGGATACTGAGTCAGTAATTACAACCCGTTATAGTTAGTTGCCAGCTGCAATTCTGCCCCAGATCGCGAAAGTGAAAAATTCATTCTTGTATTTAATGAACCAAATATCACATCTTGAAAAAAGTATTGTCTCAACAATGATGTTGCTTCGATTCAAAATATAGTAGAAGAAGTAGCGTTACTCGTTAAGAATAAACCCATACATGTATTTATCTCGAAGGTAAGATAACGTTTCTAACAATATTACTCATCTTGAGTATTTTATCTTTACCCTGCTTGTATATCCAGTGGTCTTTCCTCTTAAAGGTCTAAAAGTGTGAAGACAATTGATAAGGATATCCTTTGACAATTCGATTCTGACTGATCTACGCTGCTTTGCAACTAGTGAATAATAAGAAGTGAAATGCTCTGCAATAATTCGTTATGGCTATTGTACTATAAGAGGTGTCGCAAGGCTACCCCTGACCAAGTACGATCTGCTTGATGGACGATCTACGGTGAAGACAATTGTGGATCGACATGATGCGTAATCAATACCTAAGATCATAATTCGCGCACTACATTATTCCACGCTGTCAATACCGAAACCTAGAGATTTCAAGCGTAATTCTTACAGTAGTTTTCTAAATCAGGTATACCGCGACACTTAGATTATCCCCTTTAGCTTCTCATTAGAACCACGTCATAATAGGGGGCTAGTAGCGAATGAAAATCGCGAAAGGTGACAAGCCATGAAAGTAGAGATGCATTTTCACCTACCGGGGTAAGCTCTCTAGAGCGTAAGCGCGGCCTTCTGTGTTATGACTGGCGGGTGCTGCGTCGGATACGGGAACAATAAGGGCAAGAACGGATAGGGGAGGCGAGAAAGCGATGAGTAGGCTGGCCGATCATGCCAGATCGCCTTAGTTCTAAAGCTTCTACGCGGTACATACCATCCAACCTTACAGTATTATTACGATGACTCATCTATCATGTAAGGCCATTACTACGATGTTTTGCCAGCCTTATATAGCGGTAAGCTAAATGAGGTTAGCGTATTTCGGATTTAAATTCCGGGAATGAAGTCATAAGAGTGCGGAGGTCAAACTGATTTCGAAAACTACTGTATAGAGATGAGCACCTTCGAGCACCGACCACGACCGATGCAATGCTACAATTGTCAGGAAATTGGACACAAGGCATTCCAGTGCAAGAACAGCCAGAAGTGTGCAAGATGTGCCGCGGAGGGTCACCGCCACAGCAGCTGCGACCAGACGGTTCCAAAGTGCATTCCATGCGGAGGCCCTCATGAATCGTATAGCAAGAACTGCCGGAAGCTCTATCCATCACGTCATGAATAGAAATCTCCGGATCATCCAACTTAATGTGAGGAAGCGAGGCATAGTACATAAGAGTCTAATGAATAACGAAGATACTCAGAACGCGGTGGCGTTAGCGATCTAGGAACCCCAGGCGAGGAGGATCTAAGGCCGGCTCTTAACTACCCCGATAGGACATCACAAATAGACGAAGATGGTTCCCTCCATCTGGAGGGAAGGTAGGTAGGCGATTCGAAGTATACTCTAGGTGAAGAAAGAGGTAGAGGCGGAATAAGTGCCGATAGAGTCCCCCGATCTTACGGCAGCGGTCATCCGGCTCCCTAAGCGACTGATTTTCATAGCATCGGTTTATGTTGAAGGGGGCGATGCCTTAGCTCTGGACGACGTATGCAATTACTTACGGAACGCGATCACGAAGGTGCGGCGAGATATAGGCGCGGTGGTGGAGGTGTTAATCGTGGGAGACTTTAACCGACACGATTAACTCTAGGGAGGAGACGACGTGTCCTTAGGAAGATAGGGCGAAGCGGATCAAATCGTCGATCTCATAAATGAATTTTCCCTTAGCAGTCTGCTCAAACGGGGTACAAAGATATAGTATAGCGTAGGACAGACTAGGGACTGCGAGTCCACGATCGACCTCGTCCTAGCCTCGGAAAACCTAATAGACTCTATGGTTAAGTGTGCCATACTCGGGATAGATCACGGTTCGGATCACTGCGGCATTAAGACCGTATTCGATGCCTTATAGTCGCCCCTAAAGCATTAGGAACGACTACTACTAAAAAACTGTTATGATATTTCGATGAGACTATTCACACACTGATATTGGGGCCTCAGGCATGCTTGGACCGAGGGTTCTGCCAAGGCGGTAGCCATCCGGCGGTCAGTCGGTGGCCCCTCGGCCGCGATACGCGACAGCCACGCTGCATGCAGGCCGCACCCACAGTATGTGCCATGCGTTGGCCATGCGGTGGCCTTTCGCCATGGTTTCCCCCTTACTTCGTGTTTGATTCCTGTTTGCACAAAAGATGATGTATTTAAACAGATGCTTGAGGAAGTGGGATTCATCTTCCTCAAGAAACAGTCTTTGTCTCAATCTGACTTGGTGCTTTCCTCTCCTACCTAGTTGACAGGCCATCTACCCTGTAAAGTAGATACTTCCTTAACATTAATCTAAAGACTACAGAGAAACGGAAACCACATTAATATTCTATAGGTCCCTACTAGTAACGATAATAAGCTACTAGGTCTAGCTAAGGAGTAGGCTAGGACCGCGACCCTAAAGGATGCCGTCCCGTAAGAAGCGGTCCCTAGGATAAAGTCGACAACACTGAATCTCGCTCGGTCTTAAGTAACTACCTATAATGACTTACCGGAGAACGTAGGAAGACACATGAAACGAGTAGATGTAGCGTTGCTAGGAAAACACACTCGACAGCTATATAATCGATTATCGTGGAAAGAAGCGAGCGTGCTAGCCTAACTCCGGACTAGCATAGCTAGACTTAACGGTTACCTCCATCGGATTAACGTTACAGAGACGGACTAGTGTGCATATAGATAAGCAAGAGAGACCGTGGAACACTTCCTCTTCTAATGTCGGAAATGGACTATATAACGAATAGCACTGCTGCAATGTAGTAACACTCACCGGGGCAATCTCTCCTTCTTCCTGGGCGGGAAATCGCCCTCTGATAATCCGTAATGGACGCCGAACTTAGAAGCCGTGCGAGCCTCAATACGATTCGCGATCGCCACAGGCCGACTCGACGCCTTATAACCACGTCGACCAACACAATGACACCTTTCCCCTAACCAACCTACACCAACCGCCTTGTGCCAAAGATGGTGGACGCGCTTCAACTACCGAAGATAGGATGTTGAACACTTAAAGAAGCGTCTTCAAGCCAGTCTACTAACCAACTTACTAACCCACAAGGATCCCTATGATATTGATAACCGAGAGGACATAGAGTGAAGGGATGCATGCATGGGCTCGAAGGAGATGCAGCATATATATATTAGGACATGTACTGATAGATCGTTTCAGTTGCCCTTTCGGCTTAGCCGCCGGGCGTTAATGAATTGTGTGTGTGTATAGAGATGAAGGTTTAAAAAGCAGTTTACTGTACGTAAATGGTTATGTACAGAACATTACTTGCTCTGCTAACTACGGGCTATCGTTCCTCCAGCCATGAATAAGCTGTAGTAAGCGCGACCCATTCGCGAACGTGGATATACGCTCCGCTGACGAGCTAATACGACGGTCGGGCTTATGTCTCGTATACCAGAATCTGCTTTGGAGGGAAATGCCTCAGGGCTCTGAGCCAAGCCACTTGCGTCGCGGATTATCCGGGCGCCTGGAGGTGTGGGTTGTGTCTGCGGCCAGTGTTGACAAGCGCGAGAAGTAGTATACTTTAGGTAGTCATTCGTTATGAATTCCAGTGTCAAGGATTACCTAAATAGTGAAATGCATAAAAAGCCAGAGAGACGTTCCCAGTATTTGAATCATGTAACTAATCTTGATCTATCGTCATCCTAAAAGTATGAGAGGCAAATCGAAGTAATCCGATTTTCCCGTCAGCCCTGCGCCCCCCCCTCCTCCTCCTCCAAAGTAGCATGATTGGCTCTGGCGAGAGTATACCCGAACTGCGCCGCAATGCCCCCGTCCACGTACGATGGCTACGTATGCCGAGGTATTCCGTTCATTTCTGTTCTTTTCCACATGAGCGTATCGAATTAAGTGGCTGAGTTGTAGTATCTGAAATGCGACGAGTGTTCCTTGATTCTTAAAGTAAGAAGGTATCCAAGCCAGATAGCCTGGATGATCTCACAAAATACTAGTGTGTGAACTAGCACTAGTTGACTAGTTAACTTAAGGGGATCCTCTCATGAATCATCGCAAACCTGCAGCCTAGTGCCAAGACCCACCCGCCCCCCAGCCCCATTGATTGACGGCCTCTCAGCCACTGGTGAACTCAACTTATTTCTTCCCCTGCCTGCTGCGTCTCTTCCTTCCACAATCATCCAAATAGCCAACCATGGCGATCACTCCACGATACTGGTGGTAAGTTGGCTGCCCTCTATACCTCGGGCTCTGTGGCTCCCGAAGCCTTCGTCGAGACTGACCTCCGCTGCAGTAACAGCTACTATGACAACTGCTCATCGTGGGATACCTGGGGTCGCTGGGTAGCCTTCGGTGTTATCGTCGGCTGTGCCTTCCTGATCTTCTTCGCTTTCGCGTAAGTTTCCCCCTTCTTCATCTCCTCGCAAACACCTCGATGTCATATAGTCAAGGTTGAATACTTACATCCACTCCGATACAGGTGCTTTAACGCCCGCCGCCGTCGCAACCACGGTCTGCGCCCCTACACCGGTACAGCATGGATGGCTCCTCCTCCTGGAAATCCTCCCAACCAGCCTGGCTACCAGCAACCCTACGGCAACGACCCATACTACTCGCAGCAACCACCACCTCAATATTCGGCCAACCCCCAGAACTACGGTTATTTTGGTGCCCAACAAGCACCCGGCCAACAGCAGACCGGCATCGAGCTCCAGCAACCAGCTCACGCCCATGGCGCCGGTGCAAATCAGTACGCTCCCCCTCCCGGTCCTCCCCCGGCGAAGGCATGAAAAGCATCCCGTTGAGGAAATGACGGGAAGGGCGATCTGGGCACGGTACTGCATGGCGTCTCCCCTCTGCCCTCCGAGTCACTACAGTCGGGATCGGGCCGTGAGACGGGGAGTTTGCACCCTGCCGTACTAGCCCAGATCAGTTCCAGTCTTGTCATCTTCTACTTTAGTCGCCATGCAACGAAAGCCTCGGGTTCCCGGCGTTTTGCTTCTTTATTTCTGGGTCGGTGCGAGAATTGTGCTTCTTGTTATCTTTCTGTTGCTTAACCCCTTGTTTTCATGATACGCCAAGGGATACCTTATCTACCTACCTTACCCCTACCTATACTAGGGATCGACTATGTTTCTCCCCATGTCTCTAATGCCTGCCTGCCCTGTCTGGTCTCGTCGGACCGTCGTGATGAAGCGAGCCTGATAATGTGGATGATGTGATGCGCATTTCGGGTCGTTTGACGGTCGGCGACCATGGCGGGTTTGGACTGTTTTGAATGCTCTAGTACATTTTTCCGAGCTTTTTCTTTCTAATGACATACCCAAGATTTACAAGTTAATTTTGATAATTTGTAATGACCCGGAGGATACTTTGTAGGGATACTGATTGGTACATATTATTGGCCGGGCTTCCTAGATCTCGAATTCTATACTATACAAGGAGCCGCCCTGGGTAATGGAATAAACGGGTAGGCAGCATTTCGTTTAGAAAATTAAAGAACCTAGTTGGCTGAGGCGGTTATAGTTCTGGTAGAAGACCTACCGGTGACGGTTCGGCAGGGAATTCGAGACAAAGTTAAGAGATTAACCAAGTCTATCAATTTCATTACGATGGGCTACGTGAATATCTGACAATGCAATAGAGCAAATAATGTTCCAAAACATCATCTGCCCGTCTACACATTTCAGCTGGGATGCACTGCTCGTCACGTAAGCCTTCGATACCCTAGGCGCACCCGCTCCACCTCGATCATCCTCCGATCTCCGCCCCCTCCACCTCATTTTTCCAGTCCCTCAATCCCCAATCGCACTCGAACCACAGGCCAGGGCTCATGGATATCGATGACATCCTCGCCTCCGTGGACCGTGGCCCCGGCGCCAGCCCGGAATCCGCCGCCCTCGATCACCAACAATTAACGCGCTTCTGGGTCGCCGAACGCGCCGTCTCGGAGCTTCTTCCCTGGCCGGCGCCATTAATGGAGCGAGTGATGGATCGCGTGCGCATTCAGGTTCGTCCCACGCCTCCCCAAGGCTCGCATCGACATACTCTGCATTCCTCCCTACTCCCTCGCAACTTTCTTCCCAATCGACCCCCTCAACCAGACACCAAGTGCTAATACCTAGTACCTGGCTAGATCGAAACGATCGAAGACCTCGCCGCCTCCTCCGCAGACACACACCTCTCCAACACGACACACAATCCAAACCTAAACCTCCGCCTGTCCATCCTCCAAACCGACCTTGCCCGCACCCAATACATCATCCGCTCCTTACTACGCGCGCGCCTGGCAAAACTCACAAAACACAGCATGCACTATCTAGTCCAACTAGCCAGCCGCAACAAAAACCCCCTCTCCACCTCCCAATCGCAATCGCAATCCCAATCCCAAACATCCTCTGCAAACCCCAACACCACCCCCGAAGACTCCGTCCCCGATATCTCGGCGCTGGTCGATACGGCCCCGCTCTCGGGGCCGGAAACGAGCTTCGTCCACGCGCATCAGACGTTATTGGCTGGACACTATGGGGGCGCGTTTTTGGGCGCGTTTCCGAGGCAATTGAGACGGTTGGATGATAATGCTGGTGGGACGAGTATGGTGCAGGGACCCGAGACGAAGGAGGTTGTTTTCGTGCGGTGTTTGGGCGCCGAGGTTCCCGTCTTGGTGGACGGGGAGGATGGGGTTGAGGAGGTTGGTGTTTCGATGCGGATGGGGGACGTTTGGGTTGTTCGGTGGGAGGGGGTTAGGAGGGCTTGGGAGAGGGGGGAGGTGGAACTGCTGTGATTGGGGGATGAGATTTATCTGGTGTGATAGGTGGTGGGGTGGTTTTTGTTGTGCTCTTTATATCTTCCACCCGGCGAGGTCAAGGGGTTATTGGTTAATCTTGATGTCTGGGTTGGAGTAGCGGCATTCCTGGCGTTGGCGTTTAGTGTTACATTTCTCATACCATATACCTTGATAATGGCCCCAGATGCACGGTTTGCGATGGGTGCATGAAAACGATATGCTTTGTTTACGTTCGACTATGGTGCGAAGTATTACGCAAAACTATGTTCAAGAAGTGTAGTTATGACAATTTGCCATACTACTCGAAAAAAAAAAAGACACAATGCAGACCGTCTCGCCGTTGTCTATGTACAATCGATTCACTTGCCGTCCGTGAGACGCCATTCGCTAAGCCCAGAGGAGAAAGACAAAAAAAAAGAAGAGAAGCCAGCCATGCCCAGAAACCGGATATGCATAAACGTCATCAAGCAAGGGAAAATGAAGTCGAAGAGGGAATCGTAATCAAGCTATGCATGAACCACTGCTGTCTTAAGCGATGTATCCGTATGTCGCTGGCTCATCTTCCAGACGCTCCAGATACTCGCGGTCAATCAGGCTCTCGATGCGCTTCTTGACCATGTTCACGTCGGGCACAAAGCGAGCGGATAGCTGGGTGAGAACTTCGTTCATCAAGCCAACATGACCAAGCTTCTTCCGTTGTCTGTTTCGGATATTAGTATAAGACTGGTGATATATAAGAAGGGGTCAACCTACTTCATGATACGGACGATGGCGGCTTCGATACTGCCACCGCGCTCGTCATTCATCTTCTTCTCTGTCTCCTTGCGCTGATCCTGATTCTCGACCTTGTTCGCACCGCCTGCAACAACGCCGATTCGCACCTTCACGAACGCGCTCTGGAAGTCATTGTTGAAGGAGAATCGATCCGTAGGCTTGACATCTTTGCTCATGGGCTCCTTCTTCAAGACTCTCGTCTTGGGAGCTACCGCCAGAGATTGCAGGTTGCGAATCAGGTCATACTCGGGGATACAAGTGCGCTCCTGAATCTCCTCAAACGTCAAAGATTCACCATCCGGAACGTCATTGAAGAGGAGGAGAATGACCAGCATGTATGTAGAAACATTCAGCTCATAGCGCAGCGTCTTTCCATTGCTTCGCTGGAATGTAGCTCGGATATCCGCCGAGCCCATGCCCGCTTGCCAAGATAACTTGCGACCGCTATGCTTGTCGAGGTAGAACTTTTCAAAGCTCTGTTTGAGATTGTCGATCTCACGCGGGAAGATGCAGGGCAGCTGTACCTGGCCGTTTCTGGCCTTGACCATGGCTTCCATTGGCCACATGGTACTAGTGAGGACATGGACGTCCAAATCGATGGCCTTTTTGTCTGGGTCCCCGCTTCGGCGGATATGCTCCTTGTAACTCGCCGAGAGGTCCTCCGAAACTGTCATATCCTTGAACATAGCTTCGATGCGCTGGGTGAACTGGTTGCCGACTTCCATCTTCATCTTTGAAATCATTTGTCGTTCCGCGTCCATGCTTGCAGATCGCTTCATCAACAGTCGGCGCGCAAGGTGCTTCTTGTAGTATGTCTCGAACAAATCCTTATCCTTGATGTACCGAAGAAGTGTGATACCATTGTCAAGAAGGGCATCAACCTCGTCCTCGGTCTTGCCCTTGATGCCCTTCTTGAGATTTTCATCAAAGAAGAGAGAGAGGTATTCCGAGCTCCGGGTGTTCCTATTAATGAAGTCCTCGAAGCTGTCCTCGATCGATTTGTGTAAGTTTTGATCGGAGTGGAAAGATTTTTCCCAGACATTGTCGAATTGCTTTTTGAGAGTCAAGATATCGTCAACCCACTTGATTGCTGATGCAGTTTGTGGATTGACAGCTTTCTCCTTCTCCTTGCCCTTCTCCTTTTTCTCGCTGCCGGCATCTTTTTCAGCGGAAGCCGGCGCCTGTGGCGCAGCAATAGACGAAGCGTTGATCTCCATGCCCAGCTCAACAATGCGCTTGCTCACCTGGCTAGTAAGTGCGCTCTTCTTTTCGTCTACTCTGGAATTGAGAGTGTACACTGTTCGCAGCCCATCAAGCTGATTGTGATCAAGCATGTGTCGAACCCCCGTTCCTTCCAGACGAACTACCTCCTCGATGTTCTTGCGAATCAGCTCCTCGTTCAGGACCTCGCCAATCTTTGGCTCGGTCTGAGCAACGAGCGTGTAATGACACCGTTCATGTTCCTCCAGAATGCGCTGTGAAGCAATGCGACAGAACGTCGCGGCATCCCCAACTTCTAATAACCGGGCTCCCTCTTCTTTGTAAAAATCCCTGCTAGTGCTCAGGAATGCCGGCTCGAACGTGGCGAGGTACAGGGTGGAGCTCTCCTCCTCTGCAACAGTCTCATAGAGGCCTTCCAGCATGTACATGCAATTTCGAATCAATGGCCGGTCGATGATATGGCCTGCGCGTTCCAACTGTATCATGAAGAGTACTGTGGATTCAAAAACTTGTGCAACAGTAACGTCGGAGCCGGAACGAACGGGAGCCCGGAGAACGTGATCGCGGAAGAGCGCCATGGATACGACGAGAATGGAAGGCTTGGTGCGATCTGCGGCGGTGATGCGGTCCTGATGGAGTCAGCTTAGAAATTGTCAAGGCGGACAGAGAGGATATGCACCCGGGTTGGGTCACTCACCATGTACATCAAAACATCCGTGATCATGCCCATGCAGAGCAGATGATCTGACCACGCCTCCTTCACGACGGCTAAGAATCGTTCCCCCGCTGCCCGCCTCTCGTTCGACTGATCTTGAACATCCGCAAGACTCTGGGGATTTTGTGCCCGCACTAGAATCGGGAGAATAGACTCTGTAACCTGCTTTTGAACGTGGTTCCGTAGCCAGTTTTCCTCGAGGGACTTGACCCGCTCGTACAGGTCATCACCCCGCATCATCAGCACCATCCTGTATGCATTTCGGTAAAGTTCTTCAAACGAGAGGGTCGAGGCATTTTTCGTATGAATTTCCGTGAGGGAAGATGATAGCACGTTCCAGAGAGTATCGAAATCCTCTGTCGGGGCAGCTGCGACAATCTGTGGTCCTTGTCAGTACTAAGCTTTATGAATGCCTAAGCGCACAACCGCACGTACCCGTCGAGGAGCACGAATCTTGTGTCGAGCTCTCATGGCCGCCATGATGATCGTATGAGGGTTGGAGACGGCCTTCAAGATGTCAAACCCGGAAACCTAAGAGGTCGTTGCCATGAGTTGTACACTGCAAGCTGTGTCCCTCTCCGCGGAGGAGCAGAGCGGACAATAGTTAAACCGGTCCGGTGCCGCCTTGGACATGCGCCGGTCGGTGGGCCTTTTGATCTTCTTCGCAACTTGACCCTTCGAGAGAAAGAACGTTTATTGTTTTGTCGCTGTAAACGCCACTCTCCCTACAACTTTTTTTCTCTCATCTTCAGTGTTGTGTCAAGAACAAAGTCTATCATGCGTCCCTTTACGCCACAGGGCCTCCGGCCTCTTCGTTCGCTCCTCTCGCAGAGCACATCTATCACCACCACACGTACACCATCTTCATCGCGCCTTCTCTCGTCTCGATTCATTCAACCTCGTCTCATCACTTCTCCACCTACTCTCTCTCACTGCCGGCGCATCCTTCCTCCCACATGCCGCCACAACTCCACATCCTCGCGTCCTCTGACCGAGGATCCCGACGACAGGACCGAGAGCGATGCGGATCGTCAAAGCAGAAACGAAGAACGTCGCAGAAATGAAGAAGCATATCAAATCGCATTTACCTGCAAGCCATGTGGCGAGCGCTCCTCACATCGCATGTCGAAGCAGGGCTATCACCGTGGCACAGTCCTCATCCAATGTCCTTCTTGCGACAACCGCCATGTTATGAGTGATCATCTGGGCATCTTCTTCGATAAGAGAACTACACTTGAGGATCTGTTGAAAGAAAAGGGCCAGACTTTGACCCATGGGCACACCGATGGCAACTTGGAGTTCTGGGAAGACGGCACCGTCAAGAGCTTCGGCCTCGATGGAAAGCAGCTGTTGGACTCTTCCAATGAAAATAGTTCTTGAAAGGCTGCTAGCGGTACCCCCGTTTTATTGTATCTATTGCACATGACGGATCCGATTGACTCGGATTCTTCTTAGTGCTGGAGGCGATTGTCCATATTACTACTCCCCACTCTGGGCACGGCGGGCACCTGGCATCAATGAGGAAGAAAAAGGATATCAATTTGCATGGCGTATAGAGGGCGATGTGTTTTATCTGTCGGGCATTTCATGAGCATGTAACATAGTATATACTGTACAATAGAATTTGGCTGTCAAGGCCATATACCAACTTCATACGTCTTCAATCGCGAAACGCTCTCGAGATTCTAATACTGAATTCTAATATAGAAGGTATTACGTACTACAAACAGATCCTACTCTTCCTGTCTATCACACTTATTCTAGAACGAAACAGCGATTAGAGTGTCAATCTTTCTAGACTCGTATTCTCTGATCACAACCAACACAAGTGGTCAGACTGTTTGTTTCCAATGCCTGATTTTTTTTTGATGATCAAAGCCGCTTCTTGATTCTCTCCTACTCGGCTCCCATGTCCAACATATCTCTTTATGAAAGCATTATCATCTACTTACTTGAATCCACCCAAAACGATGACTCTAACTAAGGGCATCAAGAGAGCAAAAATTTGACCGACGCAGGGGTCGAACCTGCAATCTCTTGATTCGTAGTCAAGCGCCTTGCCATTGGGCCAGCCGGCCGTATCCTGTTGCTTGCCCGCTAGGCCAAGTCGTACTGGACGATGGAAGGTTGGGCCAAAATATGCATCATGAAGTCAGAAAATTTTGCAGGCAAAATCAGGGGTTCTCATTGGCTGAGAAGCCTCGGGATGGCGTTGTGGGATCCACAGTGGACCCTCTCCTGTGGATCTGAAATTTTTTCCTCGAACTCCACTACGGAACAATTCGAGGACTCGGCATCGAATGGGAACAGAATGGAATAGTCCTTCATTTAGTCTGAACTCATAGTGGGTGTGGCCTTTGATAGTCTCATGATAGTCTCATGCTGGATTTAGTCATCTACTTTCCGGTCTCTTTTTCTCAAGAGCTAAACTACAGAATACTATACTTTGATGAAGCATAGGGTATAGTCCAGTCTAATGGCTTGAATGGCATACACGGTGTTTTTGGTCACGATGAATGATTTAAGACTCATCTAGAAATATGTCTTTCTAAACAGCAACGGCCGGGGGGGATTATCTGGTGTCGATTAATATTAATAAAACATGAAGGGCCAGCAGATTTACTTCGATTCACTTTAAAGTATACATAGAATACGCGGCATCAATGGCGTATCTCAAATGGCTGCCCGTGGTCATAGCGCTTTGTGGTTGTTTCTTTCCGTTCGGCTCTCCTTGAGGTCTGCTCAAACATGCCCCGGAGACGACCCAGGGGTTTATCTAGATAATCTACGAGCATTCGGTGAGGAACAGCTATATATTGACACGATAACACATGATCGGCTTACACTGGATTCCATTCGCTCTTTTCATGAAAATACCCAATAGTACGAGCCATCCATGACGATATATATTGCCACCCATTCTCCAGTCATCGTGACTAGCGCTCCATTCAATGAAACCCCGGTCTACGAACCAGTCGTCAAGATGCTCACCTTGCATATTGCGTATACTGAGCCAGTCCGTTGAACGGCAGTGATTCAGACCGTCTCATCCTAAATCGAAGAGACGTCGGGAGTGGTCTCAAGCTAAAGGCCCCACATCCGGAAATTTTCAAACCTTTCTTTGACGATTCACGAGTCATAGAAGAAAGAGAGAATGGCAACGTCATCATCAGAGAGGCGTATGTCGCGGCTGATCTCCATGAATCTCCTATGGCCGGAAGGTGGGTCAGGGCGGAATGCAGGCTACAGCACCGATCAGAGTAAGTGTTCTGGCAGTCCTTGATTGGTTGCCGATCTAGTGTATCTGATTAGGAGGCTGACATATTTCACACTACCTGAGGGCTCAATAGTACAAAAGTTCGTCTCGGAAGGGCCAAATAAGATCCTCTTTCTCACGTTCACCTACGATTGGAGCTTGCCTGATATTGAGCCCGGGACGCCTGATGTTAAGAGAGCGGAGAGTGATCATATGAAAATAGTGATACCTTCTGTTCAAGGAACAATTCGGGCACTGGGAAACATGGCTACGGAGTGGAAATTTGACTGTTCATAGCGGATTCTGACTGCGACCTGGCCGATGCGTCGAGATATATATCGTGTACGAGTAAGAATGTCGGAGCGTTTTTCGGGTTGTTAGCTAGACCTGCATGCTTCTGCTTTCGCTGCTCAAAATATTTCTGCTTTGTATCTCAACAGCAGCATGTTACGGGTATTGCTCTACTAAATTCATTGTCAAAGATACAAGAAATCCAGTCGTCATCCTCGAGGTTAGCAGAGTCCCCACCTAGTTCATCCCGTATCCTTTCCGCTCGTCCCAATCCAGTTTGGCGTATCTCGCGCGAAGCTTCCACTCCTCCACGAAATGATTTTGTCCGAGGTTCCTTGCACGCCTGAATGATTGCATCCTTCATTTTCATAGCGCCTCTTACAAACTGAACCATCACTCATTTGAGTCATGACTCCTTCTGTTCAACACTGGCCGGGGGGAATTCCTAGTTCCATTAAGCCACATCCAGAAACGGATTTATCTCTGGACCAGCTCAAAGAGGAAGTCAAGGGCTGGCTGCTCTTTGTACAGGTATGTTTTCACAAATTTTGTGTTTGCTAGTCCCGCCTGTAGTGACTACTAACTTGTAGTAAGGAAACTTGGGTTCCTGCAGCTAACACTGCTACTTCCAACGACGGACAATATGAGCTGCATCAGCGGCGCTACCTTATTGAACAATGGGCATCGGCCACACAGGATTTTCGTGATGTGAATGCAAAGCCCACTAAATCTCCAAGATGTATCGCATCAACTAATTTTTCCACTCAGTCATACCAATCGCGTGCACCTATGCCTGAAGGCCTTCAGTATTCAGCCGAAGTATTGGCGCATATCCACGACACTCTTCAGCCATGCGATATTAATGGCCTGATTTCCATCGCCCCTGTCGACGAGGCCCATACTGCTAATCGGGCGCGATGGATCAAATTCGTAATTCTGTTGTATAACTATGATATCGAAGCCGGACACTGTCTCTTCGATAATTACATACCCTCAGAGGCCATCTTGAATCCAGAAACCACCACCAATCCTTCGATAGAGGATTTTGCATCCTGGCAGGATTTGGAGACCGCAAACTTCATCAGTATCTATCTCACACATACTGGTAATGTACTCAACTGCGGGTATACAGGCCCATATATGCTGGTTGATGAAGAGGGTCTGAGAACTGGTCGGTTGGCACTGGTCGAGTATGAAATCAATGGGACTGTGAAGGATGCTCTTCATATCCGCCCGTTCAAAATGCGAATGCCACACATATACGCTTCGACGCTTGGGAAGGGTCTGGATGAGATCCGTCATGTTCGGGGTGGCTATAGACACCAAAATCTGCCGTGAGTATTCTTGGGTCTTATCTATGTAGACTAATGGGGCTAATACAAAATATCAGACTTGACATGGACCTACCGATCATTGATATTCTACATCAAGCTAAGGTTTCGGGCCAACTACCAAGCACGATGGACTTGTCTTACCGAGAGCAATGGATGGAGGATATCGAGCTTTATGCTCCGGGCTATCTGGCCCTCGAGGCTGAAGGGCGTGCGGGAGAGTGAGTATTCGCTACAACATCTCCGTAGACCAAGCTCCGTCGAGGGAACCAAAAAAACGATTTGGAAAAGGCTGGAGGCCGACCCGAATCTCTTTGCCCCCAATTTTCGATTCCTAGGCTAGTTTCAAATGTATCATTATCATCATGATACCTTTTGAAAACGATGTTCTAGACTGTTCCATATGTTCATAGTTCTCTTCACTAGTACATGCAGAAGAGTTGAATAGAAGAACGAGATTCCTTCCTCAAAGGAAACAATTCCTTCGTATTATCGTACAAAAAGTCAATTCGACTACTCAGGTTGCTAGACACGCGAACTTGTATTTAAGTTTGTGATCACCCAATCTCAATCATTTTCATGTCGCCAGTAATTCACAATAGAGATTCTGGAAAATTGATTTCTTCATCGCCATGCCTCGTAGTCTTGATTTACAGCTAGGATATCGGAATAAATGGAAACGACCCTGCCCAGGGGTGTAGTGCACTATTTTCAACTTTACACGATCGGCTGGGTTGTCCTTTTCTGCGATTTCAAATGGATCGTCGTCAAGGTCCTTCCAATGTTTTGTACAGATATAGCTCTTAGGCCAGAAGTTTCGCACCGGGAAGTGATGATATATCAAATTGAATTGTAAGTCTGTACAACATGAATGAATTGTTCCAGGTATATACTCAAAAGAACCTTATGCCTCTTAACGCCAATTTTTTGAATGCAGGTGAAACCAGATCGTAATTCTGTGAATGCAATACGCAAACCCCCCGCCGATACTTTTACCAACCACGTCTCTTGCCACGGTGCTCCAAGCCCTTCTCGTGGCGCTTGACTCTCTTCCGCTCATTCTTCCTCCTCTTGTCACGCTCGAATCGCTCAGGATCAGCAACGGCATCAATACGGCGCTTGACACGACGGCCTTCGCGACGTTCCTTAATTTGATCTTGTACCCTGGTCATCTCGGCAATGTACTCAGTGGTGCCGAACTTCTTCTGCAGTAGGTCCAGGACCTCATGGCAGTTCGATACCAGAGCCTTGTAGGTATTCTGGAAGTTTTCGTCCGAAGAGCGAGGCGTGGGGATGGAGGCGTCGGTCAAGTGCTGAAGTGGCAGAAGAATGACGGGCAGAGATGGGAGAATTTGTTCAGCCTCAAGATGGCGGATGAGGGCGGCGAGGAGAGCGATGGAGGCGGTCTTCGGTACAAGGACATTGGGTCTCGTTGAGATGACCTCCCGGCGCAGCAGTGACGAAATCTGCGAGAAGATGTAGCGAATGGCAGATTGCTTTGACTGTGTGCCATTCGTCTTGTTGTCTTCGCCGTTGACCTGACTTCCAGCCTCTTCATCCTCATCCTCATCTTCAGACTCGGCTTCCTCTGCTGCCTCGGCTTCGGTCTTTTGGAATTCCAGACCGTTCTGCGCACAGCATCGACCAAGGAAGACCAGGGTACGGACACTCTGCATAGCCAGTTCCTCGGAAATGCCTGGAGTGCGGAGAGACCGCAGACTAGCCCGGAGCAGCTTGAGCATTGATTCTTTGTCCAGAACGAGGCCAGAGCTGCAAGCCAAGGGAATCTCACTGTATCCGGTGGCAGCATGTGTTTTTGCCACGTCGGCCAGCCACATGCCAATGAGATTTGCAGCGCAGGTCTTGACCCATACGTGAGTGAAGAAAAGCGATTCTTGAACGGCGGCCCAAATGGAGGTACAAGCGGTGCTCAGTCCGAGAGTTGGGTTCGTCTTGCAGAGCTTGGTGAAAAGCTGCAATGCGAAGTAGAGGGTTTCCCAGTTTCCGTTCTCCTGATCATTGAGGATGGACTGCATCAAGTCTGGAAGAATGCTAGTGACAAAGCGTCCTTCCTTTTCCTTTTCGGTCTCCTCAGCCTCAAAGTAGATCCGCATGGCCTGCAAGCCGATACTACCCAAAGCCATGTTGTCGGTCTGCTCCAGCCAAGAGTGAAGAGGAGTCAGAACGGTCTTCATCTGTTCCTTGTCCGCCCGACTGTAGAACTGTCCCAGCAATGCACCCGCCATTTCACGGCACTCCGAGGAGTCGTCATTGGCCATGGCAAGAACAACGGGTAGGAAGAAGGTGCTGATGATATCCTGAGCCATCTCGTCACCCGTCTTCGACAGGAGCAGATGAATTGCCTCCAATACCGATTGCCGTCCTTCTTGGTGCTTGTAGTCCAAGTTCTTGGCGAGGAATCCAAGCTGCTTCGCCCACCGGCTCTTGGCTTGCGGATACTCGACGAGGAAGTGGATGTAGGTACCCCGTGCCAGGTCGCGTGCAGAACGAGTTTGATTGGTGACCATCATTGTAGCAATGTTGTCAACAAGCTCGTACATTTCCGGAACAACGAACTTACGCGACATGACTGCTCGGATGAAATTGAACGTCACGCCTTGACGGTCAGGTTCCTCGATATCAGCTGTCAGACGCTGGAGCAGGTAGGCAAGGTGCCCATCACGAAGCTTGGTGCTCTTTCGCTCACGGATCACGGAAGAAATGAGCTTCAGCGAAGCCTGAGAAGCCTCGCTGTTAGTGCTTGGTGACTCCTTGATCATCTTCACAGCCTCTGTCAGATATACATGAGAGTTGTTATCGATCTCGGGCAGCGGAAGCTTGATAATCGTGGAAAGCAGGCGTAGAGCAGAAATCTTGACCTCTTCCTGAGCTTGCACAAGCGCATCACCAATGACGGGCAGGAATCCAGCGAGGTTGGCTGCAGTCAGGAGCGAGCCGAACTTGTTCAAGATGGCGCGTAGAATGTCAAGCGCAAACCGAGTCAACTTATATACGTGGGATGATGTCGTACCGCGCTTCTCTCCACGCTTGCCTCCTTGCAACCTGACCAGGAAACGTTCCTCCCTCTCCGACCTGGCAGTAGCCTTAGCGGTAGCGGGGGCCTTGTCCTGGTAAGACTCCTTGATGATCTCGTAGCAGAACACCAGAATCTCTCGGCTTTCAGCAAGGGGGTTTCTCAGAAGACCAATGCCAATTCGTCGCATGAGCTCATCAAGCTTCTTGACAATATTCGAGTTGAGCTTCTCACGCAGCAGTGATTGTAGCGGGCGAACGAGGCTCGCCAAATTGCTAATCGTGGCATTTTTAGCAAGAAGCTCCATGGAATCGTAGCTCTTGTTGCTCTTGACCTCCTTCATTTTGCTGACATAGTCTTCGGCGTCCTTCTCCTGACCAACAGTACCGAAGGTGTCATCCATGACAACGGCAACCAGGTCTGCCATACAGTAGTCCAAGTCGCCTTGACTGAAATGGTCCGTAGTCACGACAAGCATAGAGTGGACGGTGAAGGATAGAACGTGTAGTTGATAACCACGGAGAAGAGTGTTGCGCAACTCCTTCAGAATGTAACCAAAGTAAACCGGGCCGAGCAAGAGGGCAATGTCATTTAGAGTCTTTCGTGCCGTGTCTCGAGAATCTTGAGCTTTACTCTTCAGAGTACTGCAGACATCGAGGAGGACGGCAGGAAGGCGGATAGCCATCTCTTGCTCAGGGAGAATCTTGAGCAACTTGATTGTTGTGACTGAGGCGGGCAGACGTAAACTCATTTCGGTCTCCTGCTTGTGATGAATGAAATTGGTCAAGAATGGAATGAAATTAGTTGTCAGCTCTGTCGAGACCTTTTCAATTGATGGCAGTGTCTTAGCGAGCCTGCAATGGGTTTGTTCGGACACGTCCATCTTGTCAACATCCTCAGCGGCATCGCCGTTGACTTCATCACTGGTCGTCTTCTTCTGGTCCATCGCGCTAGACAGAGCATCAGACATGCGACCCAGGAGTCTGAGAATGTTCTTCTCCATCTCCGATTTACTCTGCATATAGCTGCGATATCTCCGGAAGTTGGCACGGAACTGACTCCAGTCCAGCCACTCTGCCAGAGATCCAATGGTGGCTAGAGCCTCGGCAATCAGATTGTGGCCACTTTCATCCTCAGCTTCGTCGAAAGCGAAGTGCTCGACGAGTGGCAGGAAAATGGTGCCCAGATTCGTGGACTCGATATTTCCCTTGCCAGCCTCCGTAGCAAGTCGGCGCAAAGCGCGCAGCCGACGATGCTGCTGGACGTGAAGGATGTTGTTGAAGAAAGATGCCTCGTCGTCATCGCCAACAAGAAGGACATGCATATCCTGCACAGAAGGCCTGGTGGGGTTGAGCTTGATGAAGTAACCGAGCACGGCAACAATCTCAGAACGGATCAGTTCAGACTTTTGACGAATTCCGTACTTCAAAGATGAGATTAGAACATCATTGACAAGAGCCTCAAAACCCTCGTCGCCTGCTTCGCTTGCTGCTTTCTCGATGAAACGCTTCAGGCCAAAAGCGGCACTTGATCGGATAGCGAGCTCGTCCTCATCCTTGACGTGGAAGAGCATGTTGAAGAGGAGAGGTCTCCACTGCTTGGCATTGAGAGATTGAGACAACTCATCGTTGATCTTTCTGAAAGCCTGGAGGCGACGCTCATAGTCGGGCCCAAGCCTCTTCGCGGAACGAGAGTTCAGATCGGCGCAGAGTTCAGCGACTTCGCCGAGCTGCTGGTCGTGAGAAGCAAAAGCAGTGAAAACTCTCGCCAGGACTTCTCTGTTCGCATCATCCTTGAAGTAGTCGAACGTGGACGAAACTGCCTCGAAAACTTGTTCAGAGAGCTCGGCATCGTCCTTGGGGCTGTACAAAGGAAGGAAGTGCTCGAGGATTCGCAAAAGCCCAGACTTTGTCTTGGGGTTGACACGGTCTGGAGGCTGACGAAGCAAGTAAGTCGCGATGCTAATGAGACTAGAGGTCTCACCCGAGGATTCGACACAGGGTGCGGTCAGAGACAGAGCAGTAACACCCGAGAACAGAACAGGCTTCGAAGGGCCTCTCCTCAGAAGACGACCGAGGTGGGAGAGAGCATGCTCGAGGAAAGGGGAAAGAACCTCGGAGCGAATCTGCTCCGGTGGGAAATCCGGCATTGTCTCGTCTTCATCTTCACCATCATCCTTGAGCTTTATTCCGCTAGCCAACTTGACCAAGGGCACGAGAACTTCATCCAACACGAAGATCTTGACCTCATCGCGAGCAGACTCAACAGCAAGGATGTCGATGACCTTGGTCAAGACTTCCTTGTTGTGGTTCACCAGGTAGAAAGTCGATCGTGGAGCAGAAGCCCAAGTATGGAACAGCCGAAGCAGTCCAGAAACACCCTGTGCGGTCTCGATGGGGAACTGCTCTAGTCTGTCGTCGATGA